AATTACGAGACTAAGGAACTTTTCATAAAGCAGATGTTACATAAATCCTTCGGCTTGCCTCTTCTGTTGCCTCGGTAGTCAACCATTGACCAGGATCATGATCACTTCCGATTGTTTTCAGGATATAATATACAATCGTATATATTCTAAGATATATGCTTGGAACACAGCATACAGTGGTAACCGGGCTCCACCATACCAACATCATTCTGTACTTATTACCGAATGTAGTTGACATCAGGATCCATTTTAGCAGGCCGATTTCGTTATCTGCATGTTCGTTAGACGTGTAATTCATCGTAGCTTACTGCAGTCTCATGGCTATGTACGAATACTATGACAGTGTAAAAGAAATTGTTTGCTATTCTTTCTGCCGTCCAGCTAAGTTTCTCTAGTTAAACCCATTTCGACTCATCTAGTAAAATCGTATGTTGTTGACAGTTTTGCATGACGTAGCTTCAGCAAAACGGGTCCCGTTACGATGGAACCAAACGGTTACTCCATAATTCCGTTTGAGAACTATGTAGAACAGTGTCTTGGGCGCGGTAGCATTGACTACCCGGAAAATAGAGCTAAATAATAACGGGAATTCACCCTTTGTCGTTTGTCTCTTTCTGTGTTTATCGATAGACACGAAAGCAAATTGTATGCTAATTGTCTGCATTCAACTTTTACAGCGGCTACTCATACTTTCTAGATATAATGATATGTATATAATGTTGACATCGAATAGAAGTCGCTTTTATTCATTAAACGCTGCAGGTAACGTTTTCGAAACGAAACGAGACGGCGCTTTTGAGATTCCACTCACTAGAAGAATGCCACATAATAGAATCGCTGCGGCTGGCTAAATGGGGCAGCTTTGCCCGAACGAAAAAAGGCCACCGAACACGGATGAACATGACTCATTATAATTTGAGTTGTTGATAATGATAAATATCTCTAGACAATGATAACAAGCCATTTTAGTCATGTAATATTAAATATGACATAAGCAACGATTTAAATTGTACTAGATGAGAATGAACGGCGGTATCGAAGGTTTCCGCCACCGACATTTCGATAATGGCTATAACATTATAACGTACAATTGAAATGAACTGATAACGACACTTCTGTTTAGAGTTGGCCCTTGTTGAAAGCTGACATAACGACTAGTATACCTGGCGTTGTTGCATAACGCGTTCACCAAAAAAACAATCTGGAACCTCTTAGGCACCGAGTGAGTGCCCGAATATCAGTTCCCAAAACTAGCCGCTATTGCTTTATAGGATAGCGTCGAGGAATATCAGGCAAGCCTAGGACCAATCTCTTTTGTTTAGGTTATCTGATCGCCACACCCCTTTGAATTTTATATCATCTTTCCCTTTCTGCAGAAGCCATTACAGTTCAAGGAAGGCAAGCCGCGCCCCTCCTACCCACCTGCCGCCACACGAATAAGCGCCATATAAAAACTAGTTAAATTAGCATTTACTCCTGCCACAGGGACTATGAGCCTGGGCCACGATGCTCGTTTTACCAACTGCAGTTGATGTCACAGCCATGGGAAAACAGCATCACGCAGCTATTATGAATGAGCCTATTGGACAAAAAAAGCTATGCGGATAGACACGATTGGAGTCAGTCATTCCATGGCCTTCTAAAACGTAGAAAACTCAAACATGATAGCTAACTGACTCAAGCTGAAATTGTTGGGGTCTTTCGTTTATTCGCGACAACTGCCAGCTTGAACTCGGAACGGCAGAACGTTATTGAGCTTTTAAGCAATAGCTTCTTGCTCCTGAAAATGCTTTACGAGTACTGTTATAGATTGTAGTCCTACGAAAAAATATTATGACAGCAAAGACCTTCACAAAACAGATGGTCAAATCCACGCGGTGCTTCGTTAATGTGGCTCGCCGCCACAGTTTATGTTATCACATTAAAAGGACACATTATCGCACCATCTCCTGGCCACAACAGCGATACAGAGTTCGTGCACTGGTGAAGCTGGAAATTGCTGCGGCTTTGTTTAACCGACAACAGGGAGTAGTCTCTGCCCCCTTGTTCGTTACACGAAAAAAATCGGATTCGTTTACTATTTCATTTATATGTAAAGCAGAAATAGAACCGCACGCAGACTAAAAACTAAAGTACTTTAACAATTTCGTGCGATTAACTGTTAACTGGCCGTGTCGGCAAAGTGTTCGTACCTGATGCGGCGACCGTTGCCGTTGTGATAAAGTGGTATAAACAAACAAGAAGAAGCTCAATTTTGCTCGGGAGTTACAACGAAAATGTTGGATATATCATTTAGATAGAGCAATACATTGCAACTCTCCGCAGACAATCGAGCGGCACGCGCTCACCTATAATCCTAGTGTCTACTCTCGATACTGAAACCACGCACTGCGAATTTCTGCTTCCTGTTACGAACGCTTTCTCCAGAAACGTGCTGATCCTCGCGTCAGGCCAAGCCAGCGCTACATCTAACACCGTATACCAAATTTCGGTTTCCTCTTTTTCCAGCAAAATAATACATTTGCGCAGTTATCCCTGTCACTTGCTAAACCACTCTGGTAAACGAATAAAGATTAAGTAACAACAGCAAGCACATGAACCATTGGAAAGAAAGAAAAACAAAAAAAAAACGCATACGCATCTTCGAATGCGATTTATTCTACATGCTGAATGTTCCAGAAAGCAACGGGCCAGTCCCGATCGGCTGGGGCCAGAGTTGGGCGAAGCGACAAACGGCGCTCCTGCGACTGTAATCATATTGTTGACGCTCATGCTCAATTGTGGAGTTGGTACCGCTTGCGCTCAGAGCTGCTGTCTCGCCGGTAAACAAAAAGACGACGAAATAGAAGGGGTTGGCTATCGCATTACGTGAGAAAGAGGATTTTTACCGTTAGCTGCAATGGACGCAGTCACCCTGATCGCGTATCGATAGCTTACGGTCAGTCGCTAAATGCTGCCAGCACAGTTATTTCACCTAAGTGCATTTACGTCCGGTGGTCTATTCATTAGTATAGCAATGGTTATTATTATCGAAGGATTTATCGAATAATACAAGATATTGTAGGAAAGAAGAAAAATCGTCACTAGCGTTTTATTGACGCTCATCACGGGCGGGCAGCATCATTCGTGGTATTTCCGGTCATTAGAAGCTGAAACAAGGACAAAGTTGCCCAGAGCTGTTCGCTGTTTCACCATATAACTACGTATATTTTATGGTCAGTTCGAGATGATGCTCACATAAAAGATTGGTAAGCGCAAATAACCAATGAATTTGCCTCCTATAGAATAGTATGCCGTCCTTAGCCGCCGTAACAGGACGATAACCGAAATTGTATCACAATTCAATCTTTAGCACGATACTGGAAGTGGTATTAAGGTGGAATAGTAATGTATTTATAATATTTCCGAGTTACGCATGTATTCATATCGTTAAACAAAAAAAAAACAATAAGTGAAATAAGTAGTAAAGCAAGCTTAAAGTGGGTTAGGAATATCGCTAGCTGTTTATTGCCGACTCCTTCTTAGAGAGAAAATATATACCATCAAGCTGAATTGAACCTTTCTTTTTGCTGAAACCTGCAATTTCTCACTGTACCGTCTAGCAATTTCGAACTTCTTATCCGATAAAGACCTCTTTCTGGGTTTATACAGCGATACCACTCGATATCGCCCATAATTCTTCTACGTAATATTTGTTTCTAAAATAGTTAGGTTAGAGTGTTTGATGCTTCGGTAAGGTCATCTATGAATAATATCCGTTAGACTTAGGTACTCAGATCGATCAATATGAAAGGCCAACTCTGCTAAAAGTGTTTCCAAATACTTTCGCAAGAGAAGTCCGCACTCTAGTAAACTGGGCAATTTTACACTTCGTCGCTGAGGTTTCCTTGCTGTGACTTCCAAGAAAAACTATATCCATTCGGATATCAGATTTGCTGGGAGCGGATTTGTTAGGTCAGTGAAGATAAGAGCCGTCCCACTTGTTGACAGCTCACAGTTCATCCACAGGTTTGAACAACGCGAACATCAGTTCTATATGAATAAGACTGCCGTCATTTTAGGTTCGAAAACTTCGATAATTCTACGGTAATAAGTACGATACGGTAGGCAAAACCACCGTTAGAAGAATATTCTATCAGGTATACTGGTGTAATGCTTGTTCTCCAACATCTTTTCGTCGTCCTGTACAAGAAACCGACTCGGTCTGTTCGGTAATTGCGTGATGTCTTCGAGGTGACAGCGTGAAACGCAACAATGTTGGGCAAAAATAAAATTTAGTTCTATTAACACAGCACCTCTGTACTCGATGGTTATGGCTGCTGCCGCAATTGTAATGTTATTTCTATTGAATTCATGATGGTAAGACAAGCAAGTAACAAATTAGGGAAGACCACGATCGCTTTTTCGACTTTGCGGATACAATAAGTTGGTTACAGCGGCTAGCCTTCTTTCAACTATGTACTCTGCTAACAAAGTACAAGCTGAGTCGCTGATCCGAAACTGACATTAGGTTAGAAGCGAGTTCTCTGAAACAATATCTTATGATGGATATTGAAATAAACTACAAATAACCTAATGATGCGTAGACTGTACTAATTCGCTGTTTACAAAGGTATTGAAGAACCGCACTTGTGGGTGCAGTCAGCAGAAGCTACAGATTATATATATATATATATATATATATAAACATGCTTCTAAAGCCTTCTGTGCTATAATATGCATTAATAATGTGCTTCATTCATCTGCAAATATAGATTTGTACGGTTAACGTCGACAGCACTACCACACAATCCCGAGGTGTTAACAAAAAATACACCTGAAACGAACCTTCGATACCTGGTCTTTCTTTAAACTGGGTATCATAGGTTCCGTTTATTGCTAAATATTTTTAAGCATTCTCGTTGTAAGTAAGTTGGCACCACTCGTCAACAAAAGATTTTTGTATCAACACCAGCCAACTGTGTCTGTACCACACGTTTTCTATTGGTATTCGTACTTACCATGCATAATCTGGTTATCGGCTGATACCAAGTCCACACAGAGTAGGCACTGAACAATAAGAAGTACACAAAACAACGAAACAATGAACACAAATAGTTTGGGACAAGATGACGACCTCATCGTGGTCTGGCTCTTTCCGTCCGCCCGTCACAAAAGCACGATAAGGGTGCTCACAAAAAAAACACAGTATTATAATCGCCGGGTCAGTTGCACCCGCAACTGATCAGCCACCTGCACCAGTACTTAAGAACGGTGATTCTTCCACAGGTGCATGCCAGCTAATAGCTCAGGTAATCCTTCTCGCCCGATTGAACCCAACCTGATATCCACGTCCTTGATATAATCCACTCAGTTTTGAATGCCTGATCAATCGTTTTCCTGATGTCGATACACTGTCTTCCCTAAGAGAGAACTATCACTTCACTGAGAATTGAATTGCTTACATCTAGGTTCCAGAGGCTGTACGAGCAGTATAAATAGACGTGCAACGAAATACGTGCAGTTAGGCCATAGAGGTCGGCTCGAATATGTCTCGAGGGGTCGGTTGAGTATTATGCCACAAGTTGAGGGGTACTTTGCACATAAATGACAATCATCTCTTCAATCACTGCCGCAATAATGACCTACTATTATTACTATTCTGACTACTAATTTGACCTAGCGACTTTTTCATCTTATCTGAACGGCCTCATGTCGCCGATCACATCTTCCCTTCAGATCCATAGCAGGCCTCGATTGACGTTGTGGCTCATTTGCACTCTGACTAGCTGGTCGGGCCCGTTGGCACTGTTATTTCAATCGTTGTTCTTCAGCTTTTACCTTGCCTTTTTCTGCTGCTAAAGTTGCCTGCCAGAGGACAGAGATTGTAATCCAAGAAAAGACTCGTTGTGTTTACAACAATGTAGCGGGGACACGACCGCGGTAGAGCGGTCAAGCCGGTACCCCCTCCACGATCTGAACGCCAGGCGCCAAGCGGTGCAGTTCACTCACTATTAACTCGCCTGTTTCGGGCAGAGAGCCCGCACAGCTTTTGTCGGCTCTATAACGTAGCTATGCGTCTCTGCTCCCTTCTGCCTGATCTTGGCTAGCGGTGGAGACGTCTGAAGCTGATGGCCGGTAAATCTTCTGAGCAGCCATTGGATCTTCCCAGTCAGTCAGCCAACTAACCTGCTAGCAACGAGGAGGGCCGCTGCCGCCTGAAGAAGGAGGTCTCTGGGGAAAGGGAGACCTTTACAGTCACCAACCACAACCGACAGCAAGCGTCAGCGTTACGTCGAGTCAAGCAGCGGCTACGTAGAAGCTCTTCGGTAGACCGAAGTCGAAGCATTCAATTCGTATGTTAGGGGACGAAACAGGACTTGCACCACTCACACAATTTTTCTTAGCATCGGCAAGCATTGGCTTGTTTTATGGATGAAGCGGCTTGAGACAGCACAGGGACTGTGGCAGGCTGGCATTCGATGCACCGCTGCACAGACTCCGAGCGCTTCTTTTAGATATAGCACTTCGCTACGCGACCAGGGAAGAAAAAACCGAAACGTTGTCAAAAAGTAAAATAGCAAATTTACTATTTTCCTCTAAAGAAAAATGAGATAATGAAGAGGAAAACGTTGGTCAGCTATCGTTTCGCACTGTTGACGTCGTTAGCTTTGCCGTATCTGCCGCCATTTCGGTAAGCGACCGTCCTTGCATCAATTGCTATTGGAAATAGACTACACAGTGCCCGATGAACGAGACTGACATACATGTACGGCTCTTTCATATGTCGGGTAATGTATATTTGTTAGCATGTAGTTGTTGAATGGCTGCTGTGGGTAAGCGGTACATGAATTGTATAATGTGGGGGTACATTATAGGGGTAGAGGCACACGGCGGGGTTCTCTTTAGCTGCCTACAGCTATTATCATTACGACGGTATGTGGGCATTTTATCCTTATGTTCTGTGGAAAAGCGGAGCTAATCGTTAGCATAAGCTACGTAGAGAAACAATTTCTAACCTGACAACCCCTCCACTCCTTTGAGTTAAGTAAAGAAAATACAATGTTTACCCATTAATTATCAGATGTCGCCACAAGCCTAGAAAGCTATTTTACAGAGTGCTAGTTACATTCACTGACAATAGTTTTGTAATTACTGCTCTAAGTTCAATAAGTTTTTAGTAAATATTGTAGGCGTAAAGCTTTTTCTTTGCACTTGTCATTGCCACATGCGTATTATTGATTAGGGCGCATTTCCATAAGTTTAAAAAGAACATTAAAAACTGTGAGCCGTGGACCAAAAATCAATGAAGGACTCCGAACGACTTGGAACTTTCCAATCATTGAGCTCTCTTACTAATAATAAAATGCTAGATATCGCCATTATAAATTGATAGTCTTGCCTTATTGACACGCATGTTTAATACATACGGAGCAACTGGACGGACTCAAACCAGCGACTTACCCAAGCGTAACATTCGCGTTCTATTTCTAAGTCGACCCAGCCACCACTGCATAACGATCAAGTCGCTGTTATAACCATAACATATGGCGTATATGTGGATATTTTATTAGCTTTTGCCTGTTTTAATAAACGTCGTCTATTAACACCATATATCCAACCATATATCATACAGTACATTACACGGATATATATATATATATACACATACCTGCTCATACAAACTACAAACATTTATTGTCAAGTGCTCGCATAAGTAAAATTCTGGAGGAAATTCTATTGGGTGTTTTATCAAGAAATGTAACTCCTTTCGTTTGAATCTACAAATGTCCATTAGGTCGACAGAACATGTCCTCGTGAGAGTTTGGTGAATAACATATTTGCCTTTTAACCTTAGGAATACGTTGTGGTCCAGATTCGGATCCAGGTACAGACAGACTTCGTTTCGTGCTGGGAGCCAAACAGCCAGCTGTCTGATGGAGCTACGCCTAACGGCGATACCGGATGTAAAACTCGAGAAAGGTCGACGCAACGTAAGTAATGTTTTTAATCATCTTCGCGGCAACCGTTGAAACTAAAAAATGTTTGGATATAAGAATTGTTCACTTTACCTGTCTCAGTGCTTTTACAGTGCAATCCATGCAGGTATAAAGAGGAATTAATTTTTCCGTGTTTCTTTTTTTTTTTATTATTATAAAACGACTTTTTATTACGTGAATTAAATCATAAAACCGCTTCGTAGCGCTTTTCTAATCTCGTTAAGCCTGGGATTACACGGTAAAACTTTAATGGTGTAGATGGAACGGGTTAATCGAGCAGCTAAAACACGACAACAGGTTCATTGATGGTTATTTGTGCTTGTTTTATTAACTGTCTTATCTTGTCCCACTTATATATATAGGTTGCTTTATATGGATCCTTAAGACTTCCAGGTTTAATAGGAGTAAAAAAATAAAATAGACTGATAAGGAAGAATGCCCTCACCACCGTGGATTTACGAAATACCGCTTCAGTAGTGAAGGTCTCATGGAATAGCAGGCATACAAAGACACACTGAATGCGGTATAAATGGAAACGATTTATCCATAACACCAAGTTCACATAGTCTAACACGAATCGTAGGCAAAAGGCTCGTCAATATGTTGATATCAAAATCAACACACGGAAAGAGGCAAGCCTCGGGTACTCAACATGCGGGCTAATGCTGGTAAAAATTGAATAATTAAGGTTGGTATTTTAACACTGATATATTAGCTGAAGTACACCAGTTATATCGTTACTTGACTGTGTTTCGTATACATCGCAGCTTTATAGAGACATTGCAGGTGACATGATTTTATACGACGACCATTGCAGTAACATGGCTATTCGTGAAACGTGGACATCCAATCTGAAACTAACAAAATTAGCTCATTATCATGGATTTTTTAATAACGGTACTGAAGAGAATTACCTCATCTGATTTTAATTGACACAGCTGACTTCATCCGATTATATACATTTTATACGTACTTGTTTTTTACTGATATGATAACAATTATCGGCGAAGAGGATAAGCATTGCTCGTTCTCGACAAATTTTTGCTTGAGGCACACGAGTTTCCATTGCAGAGGGGCATCGTAACCACCACAATTAATCTAGAGCAACGTGCACGTCTATGCCTGTTCTCCAACGCGCAGTTGAGTAACTCTTGACGCAATGAATACTTGAGCTTGCGTTCAGACTATCGACCGATGCCGTCTTCGTGCGCGACGACATGAAAACTCCGTGCATACTTTTAGCAAGCGGCAATATGAACTGCGCCTTTTAAATGTAGACGCGAACGCTGACAGTCTTATATTCGCCTAAAAACCTTTAAATTCATGAAAATAATCAATTCAAGCAACTAACAATTGGCGATAAGCGTTTAGTTTTTTGCCTGGGTCGCGTATACATCAGAAATCAAAGGAACTATTATTGTAGCAAGTTTGGTGTATGCACCATTATTTCTAGACTGTCCGACGATGAGAATAGGGGAAAATTTGACTTTACAAGAAAATGTTACATTGTTATTATATATGAGGGTCTGCAGGTTTAGCTAAGCAAGTGCAGTCGATCCATTATGGCTAATCAGCATGTGTGTATGCTATTAGAATAGAAATAAAATGCTAATTGTAATTAATGGCATAGAGGTGACAGGTGAAATAAACATAGACAAGATGGAGATAGCCTCAGACACGTTAAAGAGCCCGAAGATCATTAGCCCTTGGCGCTGGAGCAAAGAGGAGTTCGATGGCTTTGAGTCACTTTTTTTTCGTTTACTTAATCTTAGCAATATCTTGATTTTTTTTTTTGTCAATTCGAGGTCTGCAACCTCACCGGTGTGGGAGCGGAGAGGGGTTAGTAGTCAAGCTTATGTTTTGCAGCTGGACTTAAAAAAGCATAAAATGCTTCAAGCACTTGACATGTGAAATCTATTTATGAACGACATATACGTTTACATAACTCTTCAAGGAAAAGTTGCTTATGCCAGTGTCATGCAGTGTATATGTCGCTAAAGTTTTCGATACGCGTGAGACTTCTGATTTTTTTTTCGCCCTCAACTTTATAGGTTGAAACCCAAAACCAATACAATGTTCCGCAAAAACTATAAGGCGCACGTAAAAATATAGAACAATGAAGTTACGTCTAGTTTTTTGAGGCAGATGGCTTCAATCTTGTTGGAAACCGGTTTTGCTGGAAGAAGATTCTAGCATACGGGCACAAGATGCTTGTATTTGTCGGTATGTCCGGCGTAAACAAGAGGCTCCTTAATATACTGATAAACGTATCTGAAATGGGGAGAGCAACATTGGACGATTTATTACGCTCTTCTAACTTGAGCCTATCTGCCATTTGACTTGCGTTAAGCTTCAACTAATCGATGTTTCGAGCTTTAGGTTTGGTAATTGTTATGTCTGGGGATAAACCTCCCAACGGCCTGCCATATTGTAGTTTTGGCATTAATTATTAGGCATATACTCGTAAGGGTTTTTGCAGGTTCGTATATTAAGGAAGGTATAGTTTCGCTGTATTAGCAGACGGACGCTGTCATAAGGGCGCTAAATGACCACAGAACCCGGTAAAGCAATCTGGGACGCGTCATGCAAGGTTGCCTTCAGCTTTCGCCAGCGTGCTTTGTGGTTAGATACGCGATGCTCGCTCCAAGGCGAAGAGAATAAAGCAGAAAAACCATTAACGACAAGTCTAGCGACAGTTGAGCAGCTTTATTGCAAGCTGTGTTCTTTGGCAGAACTATGGTGTGGGGTCGAAATGTGAATGTTTACTCGTTTATTCAACTACCCTCTGTTGCGATACTACGATCCACCGGATCCATAGTCCAGAGCGTTTCATTTCCTAGGTAATTTTACCAGAGGTTGCGGTTAAAGCGTTTTTATTCGTTAGCTTCTTAATGATGAGTTTACGTGAGAACGAACGCCTCGAATTTTTGCAAATGGTTCCCACGCTCAATACTAGTATGTGAATATCCTCAAAACATATATTAATCGTGGATTTGGGCTTATACACCTATCAATCGTGACGTATCGATTGCTCTTTCATAGGCTCTCGCCACGGTTTTGGGACTAATTGACGCGACACCTGTGCTGTGTGCAGGCTTTGGGGCCCTCGACGTTAGGATTTTCACACTTGTTTCGAATAACTTGTTCTGCATTGTCACAAACATAGGCAAATGATTCTACAGGCTAAGCACTCGCTTAGACGGGCATCACAGCTAGTGGACTCGGGAGTAGACGGTACCTTGTGATTACGACTGGGGCTTATTGGCACGAAGTAGTCACATCGTCCCTTGCTCGCCTTCATAGTTGTTCAGTCCACAAATAGTCATATGTTTATAGATGGCGATAATCGGCCCGAGGCAACGTGATAAAAACGCATCAACTCTAGCCGCTGTTTGTTCTCACTTGACCGCTGGGTGTGTGGGTGCAATTGACGGTATTTTCACCACCAAAACGTATTCCAAGTAATCGTAAAGTGGCATGTAATGACCAAAGAGGCGGTCATTATGTCCTCTCAAACCACCGAACTCGTATTTGCGTATGTTCGGTGACAATGACGGACCAAGGGCAACTCATTGCTTAAGACACGGTTCTTGTTTATCTGGTACTGTGATTATTAGCAGAATTTTTTTTAGCAATTATTGGCAGAAGATTAGTCGCTTGTCAATGTACTTTTAGATCCCATTATTTTCCACGATAATGAGATAGATCCCCAGAACATCATCCACCAAAAAACGATATCACCTGAGTAAGTAATATTGCAGTTTGGGCGGAACAAGCTGAGTATCTGAAAATTGTACCCTAGCCAGATGAGCTTTGTATACGAGGGGTGGCTCATTATTCAGCCGCAGCATGCGTGTTTACCTGCACATGCGTACATGCATACATGCGTAAGGAACTGCACAGGTGCTGTAGTTAGCCATCGCCAACGAAAAGCCCTTTCGAAAGCATTTTTAAATCTTGTCTATTTTTTTTTTTATTTATAAAAACAGCTTTAATACCAGTGTGCCAAATCCTAACTACTTGATTTCGACCAGCCGGGTCAAACTGATTACTGATGTCTTAACAGAGATCTTCGTTTCGGTCGGCTATATCTACGATAAAGTGAATGCATCCTTTGGATGCCATCGGGATACCTGCGATTGATAGAAGTTTGTTTCGTTGACACGGCGCCAGCCTAGAACATGCATATGGGTATACATCTTAAGGCGAAGGTCACCTCATTGCAGTTCTAATGCAATACCTTATAAGCCTTTTCTTATACATGGTATATACCTACTAACAACAAGAAAAGCCCTCACAGGCTTTTTCAAGGTGAAGAATAATGACAGATAAGTAAACCCAGTCGTAAAGTGATTACGAGTTTGTAGCTTTCTAATATTTTTTTATTTATTATATTATTGGCGGAAGTAAATGACTACGCAATGCACATGAAAGCAAGCCACGTAGTAATACTCGTTGATAAAAAACATTGGTAATTTGCTACGGGTGTCAATATAATCGAAGCACTCGCATGCTCTTTCAGTTATATGCGAATTAGGTTAAATATAATCCAAGCTAACTCGTATGTAACGTCGTGATGACTCTTCGTATCGTAATTATCATAATTTTACACTGTAGTGACTTCATCTTTCATTTTCCATCTACCAGTAGCAGTTTGATAAATCAAACACATTGTATCGGCCACAAATGCTGTTATCAAATTCAAACAGAATTCTCTACTAAATTCGTGGCGATAGTGATCTTCGGATAGTCAGGCGGGGCCCTGCAAAAGCCTTCGCCCTGCTCCTTGAAATGACCGAATTCCCAACGCGAAAATGAGTACGGTACTGCGATCTGTTTGGTATTGGTTTTTTCATCCTCATATAGTCGGGGATGAGCTCGAGTACGCCTTGGACCAACAAACTAATTAAGATCAATAAATTACAAGCACACTGATCTTATGCATACATAGAGTCGATACGCTGAATCTGCCTGCAAATATTCGAGGTGCGGATTTAATATCCCTGACTCAAAAAGGCGATGCTTAATGGTAATTTCGCGAGACTGGAACCGTCTACGTTTGCTTTTCTGCAAGGTTAACCCGAAGAATTGATGTTTAAAACATTGTGCAGATGTCGCACCGTCGTCATTCTGATGTGGGATAAAACACACCGGTGATCAGCTTAGGATTCAGACTTTGTCGACCCTTCATGTGGTGCTGTATGCAGGCTTTAATAGATCTATTTAGTATCGAAGTTCTGATGATGTAATTAAAAACAACTTAACTTTTCCACATCACAACTATTCGTATTGTTCCTCGCAAAAATTATATACATTTAAAAATCCCTGCTTACAAAAAATGTTTTTGTTAAAGGTCATAATTGTCATACGGAGAGCATTTGAGTTTCAATGAAATGGCAATGCAAATATATGCTCCGACACTGAAGATCTAAGGTTTTGCAGGTACTTCGTGTCGACATTGTGTTCGTCTTGTGTTCCATTAGCCGGACTAATAAACATGTATAAATCCACGTGCATCGATTAGTGGTAGTAAGTGGCATGTGATGGAGAATCGAATTTGCTAAATAAGGATACGTATTAGTTCACAACAATCGAGATATCGGGTTATGTATCGACTAGATAAGACACACTGTGATCCGTTATTTCACTAGGATCGTGCATAGCCCAATCAAAAATAGGCTTGACAAAAATTGTGAGGTAGCCAATCTGCAATTAATTACCTCTAACATTAATGTTAGCAAAGTCTCGAAGCATTTCGCGTAAAGGCATCCTCGGAACAACGTTTTTTAACAGGCTTTCATATACATTTTTTTTTGCAGTTCGCAGATATGTTGAATGCGTTCGGAGATCTCATCTACAACAAATTTTATGGTTATAATACCCGAACGATACTTTTTTTTTATTCAAAAAACAAAGTGTGCACATTATTTTGAAAAACTCTTTTTTGGGTGTAAAAAGAACAGAGTTGAACGCATTTTGGATCGCATCATATAATCGTATTCATGAATCACTTTTGTTTTAGATGACATTGGCTATTGCACGCGTCGGCTCCACTGAATGAAAAACAAATGAACGATTTGGAATTCGAATGTTGCTATAAGCTTAGGTTCTTGTCGACAGTTCTGTTTTACAATACCCAATATCACTTTGGATACAAGACGAAAGAGATATTTTTAATTTTGTTTACTCTCATATTCCCATAATACGTTGCCATTATTTTGAAAATTGTTTGTCCTAACCAAGTTAATAACCGAAGCAAGTGAAAATATACTAAAAACGTAAACATTTATCTTTTTAAAGTTGAATCCGCTTACCTCCAGCCTATATTCATCTTGCTGACCATTTCGGTGGTAACGTATAGACAGGCGGTAGTCGTTCGATAGGTGGCTATCCACTCTGATCTGGTTAATTCACGTAGAGAAAAAAAAAACCAGTAATACTTTAGCATCACTGTATAGCGCAGAAGATATTTAAACCTTGAACATATCGAATAATAATCTACTCGAATATATATATTTCTCTGTTAAGGCTAAACACATTGTTTACGAAATATATGGTTATATATAAATTCACTAATGTACAGTAGATTTACGTTTAGGGCCCTTGTTACCTTCCCTGTTGTTCCCGGACAAACCTCATAGGGGAGATGGTTCCGAGGTCGTTGCAGACGAACTCGGTATATCCGCAACGGCCAAATGGCAGGGCCGAGTTACAACAATGCTACACTGCATTTCCGGTCTGTAAATTGTTCCTTGTAGCAGCAGATATGAGACCTATTGCATATAATAATATGAAACATACATACATCATCAACTTGCAAGCACACACAATAGAAAAACAATTTGAAATTAACTGGTTTATATTTTTTATGCTAGCATAATCGACGAACTCTCACATCTGGAATGGCTGTACAAAATCGTGTTATTTGATCCGTGTAGTGAAGAAAGGATCAAATACAGAAATGAAACATTTAAGGGAATACTTAGCAGTTTTCTATGACCATTGCATATGTGCTTTGTGGCATTTTGCTTTGTCAACCTCGAGAGCTTTGTCATGGGCCGAAGTACAAACGGGTTGCAGGTGAAAACGTTGATTGCATAGGTGAACGTTTCTGATTAAATTGATGTATATATTAAAAAACGCTTCTATAAATATGGACGTTACAATTCTCACCTTCGGGACGTCTTTCTTGATCACCATTCAAGACCTCAATCATAATATTTTCCCGAATATTTCTGCTTACCATTTGAATTCATGTAGAATTTTATATAGGTAAACATGTCCAGGTTGCTTTGTATTCTAAAGACATTGTATTTGCATAATAGGACCGATGACATGAACCTGGTTTACGGAATATGAAATCTCCGGCATAACCGACACGTTGCTGCAGTACATGTTGAAACTTGTAACAAATATCTGGCAATCTAGCCCAAATACAACAATTATACGCTACATTAACTAACGATTTATGAACCTACAATTTCTCGAAAATTACCAGGGATATATAACGTGCAATAACTGGTTTGAAATCATGTTTCTATCGTTTCTATCTGTATGCATCATTTTCAAAGTACTATGTACAATTATCTAACCATAGATGCAGATAAGTTTGCATAATTGGTCAAAGCATATAATTTGTGCACAGCTGCCGCATGTCATAAGAACTGATGAGGCGCTCTTCTGCGAAGTCAAGAACCTTCGTTTAATTCCTTACTACCAAGAAATTACGACGGGTTCGCATGTTTTTAGAATTGAAGTAGCGTTCGTTTAAATACTCAACAGAAATTCTGATTGCAAGATTTGGTATCCACCTTAAGTAAAGAAAAAAAAACAGTACCAATAGGTACTTTTACTAAAAAAAAAACGGTAACTGCTCAGAAGTCACCTATCAGAACCGCACGACCGAACGAGCGAAATGCGCACTGTTTTGCGCCACTGTGAAATCAATACGGTGTGTTATGTTTAAAAGTCCACTTTTAGACGCGTCAAAAATCAATGAAACGGTAATGTACTTTTGTGGTAGCCCTTATTGCGAAAGCATATTATTTGTCATTAAACGTATTACCGCTTTACGGTCAGCTCGGCGCGCATCATATGCTAAACAGTAAAATGGCAATTAGATACAATCGTTAAAGTTTGGTGCCGTAGAACAGACTGAATTGTTTGGGTACTATTATGTGCAATGTTCTCACCTTTTAGCTAATTAAAATTCCACTACGCTTTATGGCACAAAACACCAATAGTTGTCCACATTTAAACTTTACCTATAAAACTAAGTGATAAGATGAGATTTGTGCTTATATGAATATGGCACATGGCTTAGATTTTTTGTAAGGAACTCGAATTCGCAGTTCGCAGCTGACACAACAGCTGCTGTGCTCGAAAAGAGCTACGTTATTGTTTTTCCGGCTTTTTTGGTAATTGTGATCTGTCTACCAAGCAAGCTGTATAAGTTCACCTACGCTAAAATAACTAAAATACTCATTTCTCCTGCAATCTTGCATAAAATAGAAAAAACAAGAAATACAAGCGTGTGCTAATTCGAGAAATATGCGGCTCACTACTCAGTTATCCCCTGCTGCTTGAATAACACAGCCACCATACGGCTGTACGGAGATGGAGGAGCAGACAAAACAAAGTATATCTCAGTGACAATAATCAAGTTCGTTCTATATTAATTGAGCCTATTAATCAACGATACACCACCAGCCATTACGTCGTTATTTATTATTATGTTAAATTATCTACAAATGCCTAAGAAGTAAAAAAAAATAAAGCGACCTAAAGTTCAAGCCATTTCGAGCTACAGAACTGTATGTTTTGCAGTATAGAAAGTTTTTTTGACCCCATTTAATCGTTCGCTTCGTGTTAGGATGATTTTGTATTTCGCTAATATTACTTTTGGTTTTGATGATTTCCCGTGTCACTGCATCCATATCTCGCTGAATAACCTTAAAAATCACCCTGTGATTATTTTATTAGCGTGACAGATTAGAATCCTTATGCCTTCTAATTAACCGTTTTCAAGCAAACGGAATATTACGCAATTCGATTGTACTCAAAGAGGTTTACCACTTCGCTATGGGGTTATGAGCATCATTCTGTTCCAGGCCATCAACGCCACGTTGTTTGGATATTTCTTAAAGAAACAATGATCCCATTCGACCCTTGGCAAGCATTATGTTCATTGTAGTTAAATAAAATAATAAATAAAATTAACTTTATATAATATTAAAAAACTATAATTAGGTTTACCACATTGACCAGAATTTAGTATGCCGAGTAATAAAACATGTGTCTGCAGTGGAACTAGATCTATATCTAATTTTCTCATATTTCGCTATGGATAGCTCTTATTCCTTATATATTTAAAGATTTACTTCAGCAAGCGAACATGACACACATAATTTTACACATAAATGCCTTAGAGTAATAGCGTTGTCATATACAAGACCATAAACTTCTCCTGTTTCACTTTATGAGACGATTTGCCTAACGTATTATTTATCTTTACAGTGCGGAAAACAATGATATAAAAAAGAAAGCTATAAATACTTGGCAATTTTCATTACTCACAGCCCGCTTTGTCACGTTTGCATTGTGAACATCCGAGCCGATTCGGCCATCACATTTCGGCCAAAAACTTAGTATGGTTCATATGGAAACGCCGCACGTTGCTTAGAAATAATTTAGAAACTTAGAAATAAATAAGTGTCCATATGTTTAGAAAAAACTTCTCCTAAAAATGAGAATCATGAGCTTTACCTCCAACGTGCTCTTGTCATCATCTACTGCTGCATACAACATGAAGAGGAACATCTGCTTCGAAATAGCGTATCACTGTAAACCTGTAAAAATGTGAAGCTGGCTTTTCTTTTAAAATTCCAGAAAACAGTGCCTAGTTTACAATAAGGGCAGCTATTAGTTATTATATATTGCTTGAACAATTAAACTGCACTTTTTCCTGCATGTTAGTCTTTTACAACATTTTCACTTTATCCGCAATGCATCAGTAATCTTAAATGTGAAATAAATCTGACCTTTCCTCAGATGTTTTAGATGTCTACCCGTACTAGACTTCTTTGTTATATTTTCGATACACTCTTCCCAAATACAGAGCAATAATCTCATTTCTATTCCAAGCACGTGCGACGAAGTTACTACCACTATTAATTATTATTGTTACAACTCAGACAACATACAAGAGCTCTTTAATTACACTTATTAATAACATTTTTTAGTCCACGAGGTGTAGCGAGTCTCGATTTATTTTTTTTTAAAAACCGCGCGAAGAGAGAATAATTGTCAATCCTCCTATTGATAAACTCATTCGCCTCCTTTTTTCCCTGTTTACTTTTTATCAAATATGCAAACTCCTTTATTGAACTATACTTTGCTAAACAGTGCCTTCATTTATTTTCTATTTAACGGCTCTGCGGAGTTTCTCTTCGAAGAATGTCAAAAAAAAATTGTATTATGCAAACTTATTTAATTTTTCCTAAGAGACTCAAAATACAGTTAGGCCGCCATTTTTACCAGTTCATTACGTCTACTAAATGAGGGCCCGTGTTTAAATTCCCCAATAGCTAAAAAAGTTTTTGAGGATGAGTCATCTGCTTGAATATGACAGCGGATGCTTTTTGCAGCCATAATAAAAGGTAACAGCATAAATGCTGACACCAAACATTTTTCTACTAATGAATTACAATTTTTTAGACCAAATCAGTGTTTGATTTAATCAGGCTGATTGTCATAATTGAATTGGGCGAATTCGTAAGTGATCAGCAGCAAAGCGTACAGTTTTTCGACTTTCCGCCGAAATGTTTTTGTACCTTGGATTCTTTCGCCGTACACAAAGAAATTCGTATTATATCAAATTATCCTATGAAACTTTTGCTGTATTAACAAAATAAACAGGCAGAGTGACTACTATCACTGAGTGCTAATACAAAAAAGAAACGGGGCCACCATTAGAAGTTAAAAACCAATCCGATAAAACAGATTAACTATCGTATAGTTATTAACTCCAGTAAACAACTGTAGATCAACTAAACTAACTAGATAAGTATAATTAATATATGCTAACGGGGCCCACGTCGGTGGCGTCGACAAACTGGGCCAGCTCTTAATCAGGTTTCTCCTGCAATGTATTTAAGAAAGTATTTTCATCTGTCAATGACAGGCGATGGGCGCAGACTGATACAACTTTATTAAGACAGTCAATGGCTGCTGTTTTTATTTTGCGAAATCAGTATAGATATTGTGAACGTCCTCTCATACAGATTTTCCTATGTTGGATACACTTATTTTCAGATAGTTCAGTATTACTTATCGCTGAAGAGGCCCTTGTCAAGTCAATGATCTACCACAAGGTCAGTTAAAGGTACTGCATTTCTAAGGCGTTGTATGGAATCTGTAATCAACAAGTTTGTTTATTTCTGTTGAAGCTACAAAAACTTGATAGTATTGTGTTTGACACTTCTAGACACAGTCATCATATGGCTTAGTTTAAGCGAGTTGAATCATCAATATAATATACCTACTTGTTTTTACCCGACAGTGACACATGTAGCATCGTTTTTTAAATAATTTTTGAATGAATTTTTTCTGCAGTATTGGTTAGGGAATGCGATAAATGTCCAATTCACAAACATTACGACAGTGTGGTATTCTCATTCATTGGATAAGCGTAGTAATCTTAAGAACAGCTGAGAACCTGCTGCGGCGTCCCGAAAGCTTGCTAGTCAGTTTAGGAAAAAAAAAAAGGCTCAAAAAAGCGTTGATAGGAACTAGGGGGGTCTGCCTCATTTAGCGATGCTATCAACTCAAGTGACACTTTCAACCTAATCTTATCTTGGCCGCTTACTCCCTTTTATACATTTCTATCATCTTACAAATGCTGAGAGGTGTGTCGCGAAGTGAAGGGTAAACTATGCCTTCACTTCGCTATATGTAAACTTGACACAACTCAAACATTTAACAGTGTCAACTACTATACACAGGGTGTTTACGGTAAACAACTATACTGAAAAAACATTAACCAACTAATCAACGTCGGAAACTCACTTTTTAACAATGGCTACCTCATATTCGCCCGCGACTAATATTCCTCATCTCCAAGGCTATGTTAGGTTTAATATACCCTGACATTTCAACTTCAACTACCACCTAACTGCCACATCGAACCCACAAAAGGAACCGAAATTAAAAATAAACAGTATTGTTGCAAGTCTGGTTCCTTTCAAGAATTTGGACAACCCAGAACTCAAGGCGGGAGAAGTGACCTTCAGGACACCGTCAATTCTCTGGTTCATGACAGAAAAAACCTATGCGAAGTGACTCAAGAACACCCAATTACTTCCGTTCGTTTCTACCGAGGATTATCTGAATTACGAAATCTCTTGGTTGCAATTAAACCTCGTAACTTTCGATTTAACGTTTACATCCTATTTGGTCTGTCTCGTACGGGCAAATCACGTGCTGCTTCTAAAGCCGCTTCTACCACCTCAGTGTATTATAAAAACAGATCACAATGGTGGCATAATTATCGACAGGAGGAAACGATAATCCTGGACGACTTTTACGGCTGGATCCCTTGGGACGAATTACTTAAAATACACGACTGCTACCCCTACAAAGTTGAAAAAAAGGATGCCCAGCGGTGCAGCGGATATGTAACAAGAAGATTGTCACAAGAGTTATTCAACAATACGACGGATCTATTGGAAATCCACAAACTCCAGTATGGCTGCTTAATAAACCCAGGTCGATTTTCGATGGCAATCGTCTTAATGATGCAGTCAGTTCGGCTAAAGCATATCCAACTGGTTTCTTTCAATCCCACATTTACGATAATGGAATGCCTGATGGCGATATCAGACGTGAACCTCGAAATATCGAGAGACTTCCTATATATGCCTTCTACAATATATTATTTTTCAAATCTACTATTCAACTACCGTTGGGCTGTCTGTAACGGCTAGTTAATAATTTGCTGGCACTTCTTAGCTGCTTACACAACTCTGTAGGCAATATGGCTGGGAAAAGAAAGGAGTACAGATAGAATACAAGGTATCCTTTATTAACTTATCCACAAATTATACGAAGTTCTTTAAAAACGCATGTTAGCAACTTCAATTAATTGAGATGGAACTTTTCATGCTTTAGAACACTAGTTGAGCGCGAACACTAGTTGAGCGCTTTGCGAGTATCCCGTTTCCATCAGTTAGGTGTCTTCCTTTCTGCCTTGTTAATTACTACTAAGTATTATTACGGGTAAGTGAACGAAAAAAAAAATCGATATATTCCTATTCAGCAGAAATAAGTACCGATTCAAGTCTGTTAGCACGTACAATTTATACTATTTAGTCTAACTTCGACAGGCATTAGGTTAAAAAAATGAAAAAAAAAGTTGAAAGCTGCACGAAGATTTTAGAGCCTGTTGTAGAACAAACTAGAGTATGTTTTTAGGTTTTTGTTACAAACATTTTTAGTAAACGTGGAAAGTGTGAAAGAAGGGTTGTATTTCTCAGGTGAAGTGCAAAGTTGGATTTGCACACTTGGTTTTACATGTACATTTATGATCAATAATATTTCTTATATAGCTTAATTAAACACTCAGTTGATAAATAAATAGATGGTAAACATTTATTATAATAGCATATTCTATTCGACTGCTAAAATATGACCCTCGATAGCTAAACCATATCGAGTGACGATTTCTCATTCAATGTCATATTTACAATGCCTCAATATGGCGCTTTCATTGTCAATGTGCTATATTCAGTTAAAGTTGAGTGGACTAGCTATCAACAGTTTGGTTCAATCGCGGGACAACAGACACTATACAAAGCGACCATTCCATGGAGTGACCCATTGAACCCTCCTTAAGCTGTTTTCTAAAATAACTTCTGATGCCAGATTCATTTTCCAACTGTCTGTATATACAGATATTTTTTTTTGTTCTTCTAGCAAACTCCGTACGATGACAGCAGCGCGTTTATGGTCATGCCGCAAAGAACGTGCTTGCCTCGGGCTCCGGTCCTTGGACGTGAATCTCCTCCACGGTAGTCATAAAGAGCTGGTAAAGTCGAATGAGCGACTGTGCATCATCGGGAAGCTACAGCATAATACATAGAAAGAAGACCGGATACACGTTAAAGACTTAAGTACGGTAAAACGTCTATTACACACGGAGTAGGGCGCATTGAAAATGGAAGCTAAAAGTTAAAGAAGTCACCGTAAGCTGTTGCGATAAGTGCGCGCAGAAATGATCTATCTAACAGTAAAAGGTCGTACGCATTATTAGGCTTGGCAACAACACTTGCTCAAGAACAAGCCTGTTTCTGGGACCTAGCAAGTAGTGTAGCAACCTTACCTTATCAGCGGCGCCCTTGTCCACTGTAGATTCATTCGACTCGTTTCGAAATTCAATCATTAAATACTCAGGTTCGAGTCCAGGACGGGCATTTGTATGGCGTATCTGCGCCTGGATTTCCGCTCGGTGTGCCGCCGTTCGATAACGTACTAAAATACGCCAGCATTCCAGCCCATAGACAATCCGACAAGGCTCTCGAACTGTGAGCTGCGTAGATGCTCCTGGTGCTATGATTTCCCCATTTCGATGGCCACCATCTACGACCATCACAAACACAGCACATCGACCGTCGTTCGAGACACGAAGCTGCAATTGAATGTGTCTAATTTAATAATTCTTAGTTTGGTATTTGGTATTACAGTCTGGTAAAATTATTCTTCAGTACCGGTTGAACCCGCAAGTTAGACTAGAAAATGGTATAAATATTCAGGACAATTTCTATCGACAACCACAAATGTTTGAATGTATTCTCATCTTGCTTATTTTTTAATTTTACTTTATTTGAAACGTATAAAATAGTTGTTTTGTTAACACAGCAGTATATGAACATGTGGATATCATTAGTAAAAAATAAAAAACAAGTGTACTAACAATTCGTAATCACCAGATTAGGCCATCAAAAAAATCTAGTTGGTTTGATCATTTCGAAGGTTCATTTACACAATTATATCCTCGAACGAATTGACGATGAGACTACCTTTCCATCAAGGGGCATTTGATAGACTCGCGACGTCGCATTGTTTGAAGCAGTGTACCAAAGTAACGAGGGCTGCTCTGGTGCTAGTATTGGGTAACGAAGTCCATATGGAACTGCTTCGTTGCACCGGAAGAAGCGCAAGGTTCCAACGATTAGACGAGGTGGGCGCTTAACGCGTAGCAAGACCCTCGTTGGATCGCTTGGTTCTTCCAAAACCTAAAATAAGGGCCCAATTAACAAGACAATGCGGACAGTAGTTACGGGCACCTAATTGTATCATCGCTTGAAGAAGATCGGGACGCCAGGTTCAAGGTCACACGTCATTACGAACTATAACAATTGTGCAATACAGTGGCACTTGCCTGAAGATAATCCGAGATAAAGTTGCAGGGCGATATCCTGACGACGCTTTTCCATGGTGAAGGCTTTCGGTTAACACTTCGTTGGCTATTCGACATTGTAAATACTAGCTCTTTTTCTGCGATCCACACGAAACGTGCAAGATCAGGTTTTAGGTCTACAAATGTAGGAACCAACGCAACGCGACATTTTGTCAAGGGTAGGGGAATCTGCACAGGCGAGAGCAATTCCGCATTAAAAGTTACCACAGGGTCGGGCTGGCCATAACGAACCGTCTCGGTTCGTACTGTAACCTGCAATGTCTGGCGTTCAGGAACGCGCACCTCCTTCGAATACGACAGTCCACCAAAATCATCGCTAAGCCTAACCTCGACCGGAAACCGCTCCTCATTCTTGACAGCTAAGATGCAAACATCTTGTGCTTGTTCTCCACGAAGAGAGATTTGTGGGAAGCGAACTGCGACTTGTTTTTGCAATGACGCTACTGTGTTTCCGTCACTCATCAATTGTAAATCGAGCACCTTGTCGCTTTCCTTCGCTGTTACCTCCAAGGACAAGTTTCCGTCATCTGGTAGAAGTTTCACTTCCTTCGACGTTACCATTGTCGAAACTACATTTAATTGCAGTGGCTGCGCGAATCGAATTGTTGATCGAAGGTTAACCTTCGTAGGAATATTGGGAGCAAGTAGAATTTGATCTGGAAGCGCTAGAACTGGCAGCATGCTCAAAGCAGCCAGTTGGATAACTAACTGAGAGTTGAATTCTAAGATTACTGATATATTTCCACAGGTATCCGGAGGAGGTTGCACCGAGACTCGGAGGCTACGCTGATCCGAATTTCGTGACACGTGACATAGAGCAAGTGGCTGGCCATTGAGATAAGACTTTACACTGATCTCCGAACAGAACGGCGCAGGAAGATTGAAATGTGTTACAACGCCGGGAAGAACAACACCAAGGAAGTATGGCAGACCGCAATCATATACCGGAACTGGAGAACTTGACTACAAAGTACAAGGGCAACACAAAGCAAAGTAAGTAAGAGAACACACATCATATATCAGCTTGTTGAAAAAGCACTAACATTTTTCTAGCTAAATAGCATTGTCTCGTGTCTCAGGCAGTATAAATCGCACGGGTCGGCGTTAGTATAAGTCGGTAAACCTGATATTTTGCAGGCGTAGACATGCTAAAATAGTCTAAAGATGGTTCAGCCGCTTTCGTTCTGGAAATTAGGTGTAAAAGATGCTCCTCGTAGCGGTCAACTAATTACAGAAAATGTTTAAAAAGTTAAGCGAGGTCGACACGTAAATAGCGTTGATATCACTTAAAATCCACCATTAAACACTTTCAAAAGGCGTAAGGCAAGCTGGCTAACCACGAAAAAAAACTGGTGTCACACCGAAATGAGTTATCCTATTAGTAACCCCTTCAGCTGCGGAAGATAACGTAACGCAACAAAATCAGGTTATTTTAAAAGAGGTTGATAATGGTGTCGAAAAACGAATAGTAATTTGAAAATAAGAAACGGTACTGTTCAATCTATAACGAAGCTTAGACTGATCCTAAACAACGTGATGGTGTATGTTCGGTGGGATTAGAAACGAATCGTACTGCCGCCTGGCACAGAAGAAAATGTTCTTCAATCATGAAAGTTCCAGACGACATATATCTTTAACTACTCAGCAAGAACTGAGAGAAGTTAGATAAGTTATTTTAATACATCCACCATTTAGCCCGGATCTTGCACCATCAGACTATCATTTATTTCGCTCTTTGCAGGAACACCCTTAGTGGTGTTTACTTAGTGTTACGCTTTTGAACTCAAAAATCGCTTATTTTAATTTTTCGGCCACAGAAGTTTACAATGATGGGTTGCGGTGTTACCAGAAAAATGGGGTAGAAAGTCATCAATCAAAACAGTGCATATTCCGTTTAGTAATGTTATTTTGAAATGAAAATAATATTAGCTTCAATTATTATTTTAAAAACGGTCAATATTTTTTCGACAATCTACTACATGCATTTCCAATGCGCATAACCTCATTGTTCATTTGTACCTTTCATAGGATTCCTTTTATTTATTTTTATTTTTTATTTATTATTTTTAAGGAAATGCTTTTATCAAGCTTGAAAGGCTTGTATATTTATCAATTTTTGGTGCATTTTAATTATTTGGAATGCTACAAGCATAAATACAAACACGGATCATCAATATATTTCTATCTTACATAAGAAAATATATTCTATATATAAGGTAATCAAATTGTATTAAATGCATTTGTCTGTTAAGTAACTGTTCAGTTCCTTACTCCCTTTTGGTGGCCGGTGATGCTGTTGTTTGCGCTGAGTGTCTCTGTTGTGGAAGCTATAGAAGATTGTTTTCCTGAAAGTATGCTATTCCTTGACTCTCGACCAGTGGCAGTAAAGAAGGATTCGGAGTCAACGCGGTAAGAAGCTTCAGTCCATTCCGGAGGTTGAACTTGCTTTCGAACAACCTTTTCAGGCGACACAGCCAAAGAGGCGCACTCAAAAGGCACTGGACGACTCTGTCAAAACAGCAGTAACCCGAAATAGAAAGATCGATAAAGGAAATATTGTAACAGTCACGTTCGGAAGTATGTATGTATATACCCTGATATTTAGAAAATACGTGTATACAAGAATGCCTCGTCACGATCACTGGATTAAACTAAAATGAAAATAGCTAGGAAACAAGATCGGTAAGCAAATATGCGGTATACGAGATAAACCTTCAGTGCGAGTATTTTGCTAAGAGGTCTCAGTCTTAACACAATGACTTACATCCTTGAATAGGTTTTCTTCTTGGCATCGTCTCTGGTCAGCTTCGAATTCGTCTAAAAGCTTTTCGCCTGACACAAATTCTTCAGAGGAGTCCAGCTGATGCCTATTTTGCTGCTCATTAAAGAGGTTTGAACAAATCGAGTTATCGAATGGATCGCTATTTTCCTTCAGCGGATTCCTGCTCACGTCCGTGCGGCTACCATTGACGCTAAATGGGGCGGTTAATGATGCGCTTGCCGACAGCGGGTCGGGTCCCCCCTCTTCTCTCAACCTAGAATCATTAGAGAAATTTGGTGCGCCACTAAACCCAGATGGTCGATCGATAAACGACTTCAATATATCATCGGTATATGAGCGGTAACCCCAGTGAGCCGCCGGATGTGTCACGGAAGTTGATCGAGCAATGGGCTCACGAGGAGCAAACGACAACGACTCATCAGGCAGGATATCGCCCTGAAAAAAAGGATACAAAAATAGGTTTGGTGAGCAGAGCCTGCTCAATAAAGCTACTGGAGTTCTGAACAGACATTGTAAATAGTACAAGTGATCCTCAAGCAGCGCGAACCTTCAGCCATTCATATGCGTCTTAAGACTAACAGTTACCTACATCATTACTAAAGAGCAAAGACGTTTCTAACCGATCCGTATAAATTTGAGATTGTGAGGGTAGCTTTCAGTATTGTAGTTCTTTTTATGCGTGAACAGTTCTGTGAATTCTCAGCAAATGATCCTAAAAGAGCCAGAATATAATCGTAATAATGGCAATGATCAATGATCTACAAAAATTAATTTCTTTTTACACTAACAACATCTTTTGTCTTGGCAGGTATATCGTCATATTTCCATTGATAAAATGTCGAAATTTCACATATTTACACATATACGCATATGGTCAACTTTATCATCTGTTTTATTGGTTACTATTATTTATATTACTATATGTTACTATTATATACTGTTATTACGATTATATATTTTGCTATTTGTGACATGGCGCGAAATGAGAATTTGTTACACAGTTTGATAATGAACGCTATTTTATGTAATTGAATAGCATGTTGTGAATACTAGCTTTAGTTTAACAAATGGAAACTCGGAATTTATGAATGTACGATAATATGGTCGTGTTCAACATCAGCGGACATCGATGATCACGAAATCTCAGATTACTCCCATGTATTAGCTATGCCACAGGAAATAACTCATCCCCTAATTAAGATACTTTAAACATTTTACACGTTTAAATGCGCAGCATGTATGTATATGAATCCCATGTAAGACGTTCAAGTGACTAGTTATACAGACATAATGCGATGAATAGCCAGCGCAACCAAATTAAAGTGGTAAATTAACTTTTTGTAACCAATGGCAGGCAGAACCATAAGAGGTGAAACAAAAATAGTTCGTACCGCTCGAAGCCTTTGCAGAGCATCGGAGACGATCTCATCGACAAGCACAGTTGTGCCCAGAGGTGACTGCTCCATCGCAAATCAACAGTTCTTCCCGTTTCGAACTAATAACATTCACAAAATTAAATCGTCGAACCGTTTCGCCGAGCCGTAGCGATGGTTGGCAGCAGGTGAGACAATCGGCTCAATTTAGTTTTTGCGCGGAGGAAGCAGGACCGGTTGCCCGCTAAAATTTGAATGGATGACTCAGACAGAATACATGACCCGTTCAATGGGTTGCCTCTTGTGAACGTCAGGAGAGGGAAGGGCGCGATGCGTTTAAAAATCCACTAAAAAAAGAGCCGCTCCGAGGAAGTTAATTATACATCATGGAGTGGGCATTATGTCTTTTTATTTTTAGCATACCTACATCTAGGCTAAGTTATCTTTTGTAAATCATATCTATAACGACATTTTCTTTCAATTGCATCGCTTTTTTGAAATCTGTGATTCATTTAAACGAGACCTATCCTATCACCCACTAACAAATGTCAACTTTTGAAGAAATCTAAAGTTTGCTTTCTGAACTTCTCAAATGGTGCTTTTAAAGATCGTTAGCTCTGCGAAGAGGTATATCAGATGTCTCACGAAGTCGATAGCAAAAAGTGTAATAGGATAGGTTTCGTCGTATTAACGTCGTACAAAATATCGTCGTATTAATGACAACGACCTACGAAAACCAATACTGTATACAACGAATAAACCAAATAGAAAATTATTAGTGACAACTTAATAGAAACAACTATAAATACCCGGCTATTTGAAATTATCTTTGTATCTGTACATGGTAGAACAAACCACTAGATGTCTATAATTCGCCCCATACCTGTATTTTGTCGCTTCCATATTCCAAGTTTTACGTCTTACCTAATATGAAATGCTAGGATCAAAAATTGAAAATAAGCTCAATATTATACTTTATCGTAAAAAATAATAATATACAAGCATTAAAAAATAATTTATCAAAAAAATGTATGAGTAATTATTCAATCAGACGGATACACCTGAGGAATAAATAAATTATTGTCTTCTAGTAATTATGATATGAGAATTTACTATTATATAATTAACTACATTTTTTTAATTAAAGAATAAATTCATAAATTAACTTAATTTATTGCCATTCCGCATTTTGTCAGACGGATGTCTTTCACCACAAAAGGAAGTGCGTCTATGCTCGGGTTCGGACCCAGACCACAACGCGTTCAACAAGATTGGCAATCAAATATCTTTCTCGTCAAGCTATCGCGGGGACTCAGTCTTGTCCTTTCGCGCATAAAGTAACTGATTTGCAGGTAATACAGCCGTTCCCCTTCGAAAAAAAGACAAAAATAGACCACATGCTAAATTAGTATAAAAATGAATATTTAATACATACAACAGCTTAATGAAAACTGTTTTGTGGGTATAATTATGGAACTCTTAGAAGACGTATTCCCTTATGCAGGGCGTACTTGTGTATGGGTAAGTTTATTTGTCACCTTTTTTACGAAAACAAACATTTGATAATATCAGAACTAAGTACAAGGTAAGTATACACAATCAATATGACCTAGAAAAGATTTTGCAAACAGCGCGTGCCACAGACTGCGGATATACGTATCGGATTAAAAATTTTTCACTCATGGATAAACGAATTATTTTTCAGTTAATTTCACGCTAAAAACCAATTCGAATGACGCTATTCTTGTCCAAGATTGAGTGTTTAAGCTATACTTAGGGATTATCAGATTTGCAGGTACAAGACGACTAGGCGCGCTTTTCCATATGCGGCTAGGCTTCAGCCTGATCTAGCGTTTTGAAATAGAAATAGATGAAAAATTGTTAGTTACATAAACGCTTCCAACGCGTGCGTTGACCTCTGCGGTTATTAATATGGAAATCCATCACAATTACAGCGCAGTTCTTGCTCGATATACGAAGTTGCGATATGTTTGATACATGTGCGCAGAACGCATTGCAAGACACTGGTTAGTACATATGGTTTCAGCTGCCTTCTGTACTTCGTTGAGTTATTTCGACCTGCAGGCATTTTTTGCTTAAAAAAAAAAAAAAAAAAACGATTCTTGATCAAATTAGTCCATTATATAGCAACAGTATTGCGTAAAAAAGCTCATAAACGAGGAGTTTTGCCTTTCCAGAAGAAACCCAGTCAGGTCTAAAGCTTTCATTGCACGATATATCAGATCAGTACTCCTAATGTAAGCGCACCTATTCCAGCGTATTGAAGAGGTTTTAGAATAGGTACAACTGTGCCCCACAATGACTCGCAGATACTTGTCAGTGAGTTCTATTAAAATTGACATCGATGCCGGCTAGTGCCGCGAACATGTATCTAAGATTTTCTTTCGGTACTGTTGCTTCAGAAGGCCTTTCGCGCAGGATGAAGCGAAGTGTCGATGTATTTCGGTTTCGATTTTAGATCACAAATTACTTCCACTAAAAATGAACTTTTTTAAGTTTTATGCTTGATATCGTCGCTGAGGTAATTGCTACTGCCTAAACCATAATCCTCAAGCATATGACAAAACAAGATCCCGACTGTGCTTTTCTTAAGAATAGAATTTTATCGATTCCTTTGTTAGGTATCAGCAATAGTACACATATGACACATTGACAAGAAATGCCCCGAGGCATGCAACGCTTTTGAGCTTAGACACGAGCTACAATTCGGTGTTGGCTATGCCGGGTCTTCGATTGATCACAGTAACCCCATAATCGACATCACAATTGGTTAAAACAAACAGCTTAATCATAATGTATTTCTAAATCTTTGTACAATTCCAAAGGCACATCGTCTATTGACGGTTGCTTTATTGAAACGTTAGCCTTTTGTGTTATTCATACTTGCAACTAGTCTGACAACTTTCAGAAAACTAGGTTGACCTCTAGCGCGCAATTGTTATAAATCTAATTTATTTCTGTGTTAAGTATCTGCGTTAACCTGGGTTATTACGGGAAAACAGATCAAAGGTATGCCCAAATGGTCTATACGCTGTACAGCAGGTAAGTCTGCTCAGCCACAAAGGTTCTATATAGAATTAGCGGAGGCTTATAAAATCCATCCCAGAACGAGAAGCAAAGATAACGTAAAGCTGCAATAATGTATATAATAATAATAATACAAATATTTAGCGACAGGTTATAGAAGTTTATTGTAACTCACATTGTTGATGCACTATACTAGCAACTTTAAAGAAATTGCCATCTTCAATCACATTTCATTAGCTCTTGACGAAATATTGTATATGGCCATAATACGGAGGCGCTTGGTAACAGAAATCCTTTGTGGTAATTCTAGTAGATACAGCCACTGAAACAGGGTGAATGCTCTACGTAAATTCGAATGAAACCTCGCCGACTCCGGACTTGCAATTTGAATCGAACCTGGTACCAGAAACCTCTTGTTCCTGGTTATCCTATTGATGTAGTTCTTGCTACATACTGCTTACCAAAAAGAGTCCTATGAACTGGTGTCGGGCAAAACCCTCAAGCTTCAATTGGAAATGCCGCACGAAGGTAATGCTTCCGTTTATAGAATGAAAGCCCTTCATCTACCCTCCTGCAATATTCCTTGAACGTGTTTCCATGGATTTCTGTTTTGTGAGTTATGTATACAAACTATATAAGGAAACTCATAGAATGAAAAATAATTATAACTTCATGCAGACGCGAGAGTTGAATTTGTCTATCAGCTACGAGAAGACGACAGCTGTGAAATAGGACTAGATATTACGAAATTTGTTTTCGTTTTGATATCCAAAGTTCGGTTAATATCTATAACTCGACTATAGCGAGTCAGTCAAAACTAATCATTTGGTATAGTTAGCAACGTCTGCAACTTATATGTTTCTGTGCTATAAACAAAACAAATAACTTTTCTATTATTCATATCTAGTATCAAAATAGCACCGATTTGTCTATATTACGTAGAACATAAATCCAATATATTTATGTTTACAAAACAGTGTTTTATTTGCATTTCTCCGCCGTTCGTTTCTCAGTTGTCGCTGTTATTGTCATGTCCTTGCCTCACTTTCGTCGTCTGTCTAATTTACTTGTTGCAGCTAATTGCCTTCGTTTTTTATTATCGCCGTAAGATGATCGTTTAACCTTATCTAGAATTATTGTAAATATTCAGACGGACGAAGCATCGTGCGTTACGTGAGGCGTTCGACTAAAGCAGCACATTTAACAGCTACGGTTGCTGTCGTTATTGTTGTCATATATATATTCATTGGTTTTCATTGCAGTAATAATATAATCGTCATCTGCTCCCCCGAGTTATCTATTGTTGCTTACGTCTCATTCACCTTCGACAGTCCAATGTCATCATCATCGGCATTATGGTCATCGTATATTAGCATTCTGCACACGTTTTCTAGTATTTCCAAAGCTCAGGAGATGCCGCCCGTTTTTCTTCGTTCTAGGCCCCAGCTGTTCCTCACAAGGCTCTCTCCTGTTCGTGCAATTGCACGCTGTCGCTATCTTACTATAACGCGTTGCGTGTTCCGACCAATTGCTTACATATCGTTGCCAGTTATAAATTTTAAGTTAGAAATGGTGCTGCGAATATCCTTGAGATGTACATAAACAAAAGCTAAATTTAAAATTCAACGGTATTTTAATAGATAGCTTAGATTTTAATAGACGCTTGATCCTGCTGCTGTGGCGATTGCTCCCTCACCCGCTGTTCTCTTTCCTACCCCGCTATATATGTATGTATATATAATTAATAGTACTTATGTAAGTATCAAGGATAATATGATGATGATTTAACATAACCTCGTGGTAATTCACTGGTGCAAGTTTACGTGGCGTTCGTTTTTGTTTTCGGTACTTCGGGTGACTTCAGTGGGACTGTAGAACAGCTGGGCAAACCTTTCTTTTTAAATGGTCGCATTAATAATAGTCAATTCCTTATACCGTTTATTTGTGTGTATACTGTCATGCATTTTTTTTGTGAAGTGTCGCATTTATGAGTGTTTATTATATTATCTCATTACGCACCTGTGTCTTGTCATTTGTAGTAATTAATAGTATTTGGTTAATATAGTTGCACTTTTGTCCGGGTATATTATTTTTATTATTAATATCGTTATAATTATGCATCGCTCTCAATAAGTAAATCACTGTTGCTTTTTCGTGCGTAACACTTGCCTCTTACACCATTGCCGTTGCTGTAAATTTGTCATTTAATTCCCATATATCATACTAGATATCATTAACGTATATCCATTTTTTTTCTCAATTTGTTGTTAGCAAGGTCGGGGGGTGGGGGGGGGGATAGGCATAATCGGACGCTAGTCGAAGCCTTTCGAAGTTGTGCTGAGTCTACCCAACACTACCTTTGGAGTTTATTTTTCCGCAGTGTATTTGCCCAAGAAAGGCTAAACGAAGAAAACAGTTGCAGTTTCTTTCGCTCGTCGCTTAGCAAGACGGTATTAAATATTTAGAGGCTCTTGCTAAAAGACATTCGCAACTTCAATTAACTTACGATACATTCGTTTATTTCGGTATTGTTCTCATCGATTTCGGCAACGCGTGCCTGTCGATAAAACTAACCCATTAGATTAATTCTTTAACTGTCAGTGTTTTGCTTGGCCTGTTCACTTGATTTATCGTAAATTTCCAAGAAATTTCTTTGTGTATAAACTGTGTGTTATGTTTTTGCCGCTGCTTTTCTGGATTATGGCGAAACAGCAGCAGCATTAACACCGCCTTAATAACTTCACTAGCCATTTTATTACTGAATTAATAATTCACCTACACCATATACCGCTATGCACCGTTAATATTTAAAGATGTTTCTACAACTAACTCGTTCCTTTTATTCATTTTATCAGTTGGCCATCATAAACCAAACATACGCAAGTTACGTTTTTTCTGGGCATCTTCCAACGCCTGAGTGCCATTCTATGTGCGTCGAAGAATGGCTTCGTTTTACTGCTCCTCTTTTGCATACGTTCAACAGTTCTAGGAGAAATAAAGTAGATACACGGAGAATGGCGAACGCTCATCAAAACGACAGTTTGGTACGAAAGTTACTCTTCTTCTCGTCGGGTGCTAACGCCACGCGGCCTGTCACTTTTGTTACATCTAAGATCACTGTTGGCAAATAACTTCCATTGCGCATCCTGTTGTGTTTCGTTGCCATTGTTGTTGTGGCCGATTTGTATCGCAGGCCTTGATGTCAAAGCCGACGAAATTTCCTACTTTCGAGACAATACCTCAAGTTTAGTGAGTGTACCTACGCTCTGTACGATAGCTACGTGTAATTCAATGCCGCATAGCTGTCTGCTGATGATGATTTAAATAATGCTGATCTTGGATTGATAACCTGTTATCGATTTTGCTAGTATCAATGCGTGAGCTGACGGAAATGTTGTTGTCCACAGGCAGCTCGGACGAACAGAGATCGATGTGTCAAGTTTGCTTACTCTTATTTTCTTCATATGCTTGAAAAGAAAGAAGCTAACCGCACTACGGGAACGGCCCGCGATCGGCGTCAAATGCCGTAGCTAACTCCATTACGTTTTGACGAATTGCACGCATGCTATCCTACAATCGCGTGTGATAGACAAAACCGTTCACACAAACCGTTATGTGTCAGAGGAAAAACCAACGAAAACGGACGGGGCGACATGATCTTAAACGTCCGCGCGCGACCTGCTCCCTTGTCTGATGTTTAGTGTTCCATACATACTCGTTACTCAAGAAGCAGTAAGGACACTTGCAGAGGTGGATAAACGCCCTACGCCCTAGTAGTCACCTGTAAGTCCTAAACATCGCTGTGATCGGCCAACTCAAATTCGACGAACACGGAACTAAATGTATTGCTCGGTACAAAAGCGACGCGGGATATTCTGACTACTGCAATATTGTAGTATATTAAAACAAAAAAACAATCAACAAATTAAATGCAGAAAAAATCCTGTACTGTCAAAGACTTGAACCGGCATTTCTTGCGTAAGAGATCACATATACATAATAGGCACATACTAATGTGGTGACATAAAGCAAACGAAGCCGATAAAAACTTACTGGGAAGAAAGGAAGTTAAATATATATAACCGAATTATGAAGAATGAATACACAACGGGGCGGTACAACAACGTGACGCGCTGATCTGGCAGTGATCTTTCCAGTTTCATCAACTTACGGACGAAGCTGTTTCTACATGTTTGTGTTGTGTGCACACCCGACCGCTATATCGAACGACCCAGATGGGGCAGGAGTCCCAAGGGTAAATCTATATAAATATATGTGTTTGATATATTTGTGTACATCTATGTAGGCGGCCTTACGGCATAACAACTGGCTGCGCTTCCCTCAACGAGACGGATGCAGTGTGGGGCGTATAACAAAAATGACTCTCTGATTCGCCTGCAATCCCTTAGAAAGTCTTCATAGGAATTGTTGCCCTTGTGTGTGTGTGTGTCTTGTGTGTGTGTGTGTGTTGTGTGTGTGTGTGTGTATATATACGTATTTGTGTGGCATGAGTCAAAGCTAAATACTACTATACTAAGCGTGTAGGAGTCGGTAGATTGCACAATATGAGGTAAAGGAATGGGTAAATTCGTGGTCACTCTTTAATAAATTCTAGGCCATGCGCTACCGAGGCATCGGTCACTTAATTTATTATCAATGACAATCAAACCGGAACGATTCGACAGGATTCGTTAGAGTAAGTGCTAAATTTGTTTGCCCTCATTTGGTTATATCTTCATAGAATTGTGAGGGTGCGCAAATGGCTCCACTGGAGCCTGAAGTCATACACTTGAGTTGCTGTATGTGTCGATTTAAAAGCGCTGAGGTTTGGTACTTCTGCTCGTAAATGCAGGTGCCGTTGTTGTTGTTGCAAGCGATGAAGATAACAGTCCGTTTTTGGTGGAGCATTAGGCTCCAAATGTCTCCAGTTGATTTTAATATTCGCTCAACATTTGCGCGATGCTTAGCTCGGCGAAGCTTTTTTCGCGTACACAGAATAAATCTTAGGACACATCATCGCCATCCTTGTAATTGGCCAAACACTCCGCCAGATGAATGTTAACGCAAGTAATAAATACGGCGTGTGTATTCAGGCTAAATATTTGTTGTGGAATAGTTAGCGACATCGAATAAATACATGTTCAATAAATAAGACCGTAACGAATTATTGAATAAATAAATACAACATTACAAGAATTGCATTTGGTCTCCCCCATTTCAACATGCGACAGAAATTAAAACCAAGGTTACGCAGAGCGGGGAGAAGCAATCTTGATCATTTTCGTACTGTAGATAAAATCCTGAATCCATCGACCAAAAAAAAACCAAAGGTCTTCGACAACACAGACCCTGCAGCTCTACGGCGACGTTTTAGAATGTTCGGAAATATACTTATTATTCCTATATACCGCCGTATTGAACAGAGGAGACCGAAACAGTATCGAACTTTAAAAATTCTACTCTTCGTTTAAAAAACAGTAGTAATTTGCATTAAGGAGCTTTTTGATAACGGTGGGCGTAACACGAAAACCCTCTGAAGACACAGCGGATAGTAGTAATCTTTCGAAATGTGCACCAAAGTGAGTTGCAAGTCACAAGATAATAATTGTAATACTAATTATAGTCATCGCGACGGTTACATCTAGTTATAGCTGTACTACACTATACTATTCCTATTATCCTTATAATTGTAATTATTATATGAGGCACGTCTGGCGGGCGGCGACGATTTTCTGTTGCTATTAGTCTCTTTTCTGTTATTTTTTGCTATGTGCATTGTGTTGTTCTCGTTCTCCCTTTTTCTCTGCTGCCTCCCTCACGTCCCTCCCTTTAACTACTACTGATTTTTGTAACTATCTAACCGACATTCATTATCCTATTAAATAATGAGGGATCACCATGAGGTCCGGATCGTCTGCTAAATCGCCGTGTTTATCTTTCTCGCCATCTGTTTAGTTATTCCCTCACATTTATTTCGTCTGCTTCTCATCTTTGCGGTTTGTTGTCGTTCATTCTCGTCTGGCAAATTAGGGCACTGCACTGCTTTCTAGGTACACTTATATATACTCTAGCAGAAACAGTCACCGGAGAGTGAATGTAACGCCTTCACGACCTGCGCACAATCTACCGAGACAAAATTCAAGCGACCAACCTATGTTTACGTCGCACGTTCCTTTTCGATACAGTCTTCAAGGCTGCTGCTTACCGGGGGCTTATATTGCCTCTTTCCTTTCTGCGGCTTTAATGTGTCCATTTCCCGGGGAACTTGCTCATTGTTAGCACAGGTGCAACTTCGACGCAGCGGCTTAGGTGGCATAAATTTTCGGATAGGCTGGTGAACATGGTACGTACACGTACCTGTTTGACCTCAGCTTCATTCTTGGAGGTATATTATGGAACAACCAATCTTCCAATTTCCAAAAGAACCGGGGTAGCGGAGCGTGTGGAACATACGGTCCTGTGTGACGTTTAGAAGAACTGATCTTACGTTATCGTATTTGTGAATATATCGATCTACGATCGATCTATTTTTTCCTTTCTTCTTATCCAAGTGGCCGATCCACTGCATTTCATGCTAGCGGCATGCATTCGGTGTGTAACAACGTGTGCCATCGCGCTCTTGTCACTCCTCGTGAAACCTTGATGGAGTGTTATAATATGTGTTAAATGATCACCATCGTCGTCGCCGTTGACAAACGCATGTACATCTCGAACTCGTTTCTTGCCAAAAACAACTGGCCCTGACATACTATCGTGTTTTCCAATTGGCGCCCATGATCACCGCAACGCTTAGAATAATCGCGCTCGACGCTTGAGGTCATTGCGTCTCCACTCCGGAAGCCGGTAGAACTGCAGTCGATCCATGTGAAAAATCTGCTCAAACTCCTAATTGTCATGTAATAGAAATCAGAAAAGAAGCACGATTCGATATTAGAGTGCGTAAAAGCGAAAAATTCGATGTTACGTATGCGAAGAACTGGTGGCATTAGGAAGAAATATCTGCCTTTTATCGCGTATGACAAAGAAAATGAATTTACTCGGATGATCGACCTATTCTGTTACTGACACACAACTGATTCGCACGGCTCATCAAATGACTATAAGATCCATCCTTCTGTTGAGTGCATGCCCATGTAAAACTTTCCTAGTACTCATCCGGGACCCACCCGTGAACAGCGCTATAATATGATATTCGTTACGTTTGAATCAAAGCCCTCTTAACGATGGGGTGCACACAAACAGACAGGTAATCATTCATTGAAATACAAATAAACGATGCAGAAATTCGAAGTAACGAGAATTTTAGCCTTTTAATTCGATCCATCCTTTCATCTATTTGCCTCCACCTTAGCGTCTTCGTGTTAGCTTTACGATTTCGCTAGACGATAGAAGCAACTTACCTGATTTGAGAGATGTCTCTCGAGGTGGCAACGGTCGACGTCCGACGGTAGTCGGTAATTGGCAGTGCAGAGAAGGTGATACGGATAAAGACGAGGAGGATCTTGAGACATGTGCCAATTCACATTGGGCATTGAACGCCGAAGGTGGGGCGAGTACGATGCATGCCTCATGCCTACGTCAATGTGTCGAGATGCACGAAGGCACACGGCAGCCAGCAAGTCGACATAGACACCCCACGAAACAAAAGCGCGCAGAATCGCGCGTAACGGGTAACAACGGAATCAAATCCGGTTCCAATAAGTAACGGAGAGCGAGCCCACACGGCCCCGCCAGCGATGATGATAGAGCAACAAAGATTCGTCGCCATCATTCCCATTAGAGGCCATCGGTAGTGAAGGTGATGGTGAATTAGTTAATCGTTGAGCGAGAGGATCAGCGAAGGGGCGCGTCATACCGAATACAGACAGGGCAAAGAATACGGATAACGCCGAACGATAAGAATCACAATAACAAAAGCCAATTTCGGTCGGTTGCTGCTATTTAGTAGATGCGCATATTACTATCTAAACTAACTGAAGCGCGTAGCGAATGCATGCTCATCAGCACCAGGAGTGTTGTCGACAGCGAGTAGATTTAATCATTTAGCTTCCCGGACTTTCCTAAAAATCTATACGAAAATTAGGTAGGTTTACGAAGTTTTCCCTTATGTAAATTTACCTTTTTGAATATTTTTTTTTAAATTTTGGCCGAATTGTTTTGAACAGAGCTAAAGAGAGTAAATATTTGATGTAAAATCGGCGGTTTCTTAATGACACCACGCAACGTTACCATTTACGTTATGTTAGACGCCAAAGAATAGTTAACAATGCCGCACCCTGCATGCAATGCTCTGTGACATTACAGCTCTGTTCACGGTCGAATTTTTCGAAATTATGCTAGTGCAATTTGACTTGAACTCATGATGACTCAGCCTACAACAGATTGGCGAAACTTTTTGTTAATCATCTCGCTGTCAGACAGACGAAAGTTTGCGATCACCTTGAAACATGGCTAAGACAGATGAGTATGGTAAAAACCTCACTTGTTTTAGCCAACGGTCTGTCTGTCATAAATATATGTCAGTCAAAAAAGCCGCATCATATTGTCTCGTTGCCCAATAAAACAATCTTTAAGCAAAAAGCAAAAAAGATTCATAATAATATGGGGGTACACACAATATCAACTCATGCATTATATCAGCTTTTGAAAAGAGGAAAATTTTTATGTTCAATGAGCTGCTTAGAAATCTAACATTTACCATTTATAGCCTTCGATATATAACTTCGATAGAGATGCACCGTTATCGAGCAGATGTCTATGTCAGAATTCACCGACGAAATACAACGACCGAACAGAGTATATTTATTTAAAATGTACTTACCGCAGAATGCCTGTCCTTCGCCGCTTCTTGAGTGATTCATTGCAGATTTGCTCCGTACATCAGAAGATGCAATTGACATTGCGTCGGAACGATCAGAACCAAACTCAGATGAAGTTGTGGTTTTGAACGGATTTGCCGAATGCGACGTCTGCAATGTTATCATAAGCGATATCGGTGACTTTTATCACTTCATTCTTTTTTCTTCAAAAGCCGTTTTCCCCCCTTATCTGGTTTCCACCGTAAATCCGGTCGACAGATATTACCTAGATCTCGTCTTTCAAGTAACGAACACCGAGGCTATTGATTATCTATTGTTCCGGTATGATTTAGCCTTACCACCGTAGACATGAATGACTACTCCATTGGCATAAGCACTTTAGTTTGGGTTACACGTGTATTCGATTGAGGATTGTAATGGGATTCTGTCCTATTTTTGGATACACTACTTAAGTGGATAGTCGTGAAACTCTTTTTATAGCTTGAGTTACTGGAACACAAATTCTCAAACAACAAAAAAGTCTACCCTGCAAATGTAGCTTGTGTTTAGCTCAAAATTGTCGGGAGAATGCACACGGTCTTTTATGAAGCACGAAAAACGTCGTGGACATTCAGTGTCGTTGTGGTTGTTAGCGGAAGCTAAGTCATGTCGACTCCGCCGCCGAATGAGTTGTAGCTGAACCGTTGACAACGCTTGATTACAGTTTGGTTGTACATGGCGCAATTGATAATAACAGTGCGTGCAAAGAGCGCGAGTAAAATGACCAGAATCGAGCCTGGTATTCATGTCTGATTGAGGGGGCATCGATAGCGACCACCGAAGTGCCTCTGAGAGGCGACCCATTCAAACGGATATGATAGACGTTGAAGCCTCTTTTCTAACCCCTAACTGTTTAGCATGCCTGCGTATCTTCTTCTCGCGCTTATCAGCCTTCACCTATTATCAGAAATAGGTCAGATATTGCAGAAGTGGCAATGAACTATCCATTTAGACAAGGTTGGCTAGCAAAGTGTGCTGCTTTACGTAGCGCCGCTATAATCACTCCATACTCATTTCACAACCACGGAAAAACATGATCTCATCGCCACCATTCATCCTGTCAATATCCTGAGATAAAATAATACGGAAAAATGTTTTTGTTCGAAGTTGACTACAAGTGAAAGCACATCCCGCGTATGGACGTACACACTGCAATTTCAGCTGATGAAATCAAACCGTATCGAGAAATATCCGACAGAATTGCAGCTAAACTAGACGGGCCCGTACAGCAACGAACAAGCTTAGGCTTGAGCGGACGACACAATGCAATGCGTCGCCGAGCATAACTGGTAAGTACTGATACCTGTCTGTTGGGTTAGTCGTAACACAACGTCATGAAGGCGGCTGGACAGAGAGACGGTTGAATGAGTCATTGTGACATCGAGCAAGCGCCTGGTGGATGTCATGCCGCGGTATGCTATAACACACACTATTGCGGCTGTCTTTAGCACGACTCCGATGTCGCTATTACTTCTATTGTGACTGGCACTTGTTCTATGTATTTCGTCGAGTACTATGGACGCCGGTCACACGATCTTTGTACGACCTTGAAATGGCGCACTGATCATTGCGCCTGACGCGGTATGTTTCTGTTGATGTCCCAGTGTTGTCATATCACTTTAGGACGACGACGACGACGACAGCAGCTGCAGCAGCAGTATCGTTGCGACTATTTATCTTCCGAAAATACGCGTTCAGTCACCTTTGGCCTGCTTACGAGCTTAATTTTCGTTCAGAAATAGTCTTGGCGGCCGCCATACCGACAAAAATGACTGCATACAACGGCTGATAGCCTGCTTCGCTTTTGCCTCATGTCTAAATTACGCGGGTCAAGTACCTGTGCACGGTACAGATATACTGAAGTTCGGCAAGTAAGGTATCCTATTTGGCTACAGGACGATAACGGAATTAAATGTATGTGATTTATTAAGAACAATTGATAACTTTGTACGAATAACGATATAAATGTATGCGATAATAGTGGAACAACTAGGTAATCGAAACAAGAAATGGTGAACGTGGAGCAAAATTATTACGGTGCTGACAATCAAATGACAGGCTCTTCCCCATATGTAACTCGATCAACATCAGTTCGTTTCTACCTAATAATTAATAGTGCGTCTTTATGACACTTATGACCAACTTCAACTATTGGCAAATGTCTGACTGAATATCTTCAAAGCTGAACAAGTTTGTCGTACAACAGAAAAAAAAAGCATACCATTTGATTGGAGTAATGATGCGAAGCGTTCGCTGGTAGTGTAGCCGATTTAGCGCTTAATCCATAGCCCGGTTTTGGTGGCTGATGTAGCGAAGATACGACTGGAAAATTTGGCAACACGAGCGGTGTGATCAAACGATCGATCAACTTTAGATCAATCAACAGTATCTAGAGTAACTATATACGACATGAAATGAACTACTTGCTATTTAGAATCTGCTTATGAGTATGTAAGTAGATAGTTTTTAAATTGACTACTCGTAATAGATCAGTGAAGAGAACCCAACATTCGGATCTCGTTGGTATAATGTAAGCAGCATTTTGGGTACGTAAAAAACCTCGAACTAACCATTGTAGTTTATGTGGACATCGTGGGGTCGAGCAGATCCTCGAAGAATTGAGTTTCGATCAAAATCAGGGTCTAACTCCCACGGCCGTGGTCGGTCTAGATCACGGGAGGGAGCTAATGTAACGTATGAACGCGCCCACGGAGAGGGGAAGAGTGAGTATGAATAAATAACGGGAAAATAGCAACAGAACAAGTTGATGACGTGTCTACTTAGATTATTTCGATCGAAGTAAGATATTTTAGTATTTTCATATTTGAGACATCAATCAATGGCATCTGTGATGACGGAAATTATTGATCAAACGCTTAACTGCTATCAATAAGTATTGCTACTGACAGGCGTTCACGGGGTTGTCGTATCTCAAGTTGGTGGCTATTTCTCGCGAAGCCGAGGGAACTCTCGAGGCATTCCGTGGGTCCATGTGGGTCATCTTGTATGCTCGAGCCTTCTCGCGTTCCTTTACTGTCTTCAGGAATACACCGCCGATACCTATAACATTTAACAATACGTAATTAGCATTCTACGATTATATGCGTTGAAATGAAGCGAATTTTAATAGAATAATCGGTACATGCACTAGTATAACGCTTAGAAGATCTGTTGTTTTATATGCTACGTTAATATTGTCATCATGTATAGTTCGTCTTGTTGCTAAGGGAAAAGCGGTCTTAACTTAGCGAAATAGCAATAATAATAATTATTATATTTGTATATAGAAGTTACCCGTGGAAATTTTCTCCAGCTCTAGTTCCTCCTTTTTGAGTTTGGGATCCATGGGCACCGCGGCCATGTCTATCTGGTCCTCCTTTTCGATCATATCTGAACCAGCAGAACTTCGTCGTACTCGTTCCGTTGGATCAGCATAGGGATACGGCGGAGCAGGGAAATCATCGCGCTCTAGGAAGTGATATGATTGGCCGGACCAAGTATTAGAATAGATTGTTGAGATAACTGCAACTTAGCCGCAGAACTAGTAACTGGAACGCGATAAATGTCCCTAATAAATGACCTAAGTCAGTAAAAACTATTATAACAAGATAACCGCATCTGCACATCGCTGCTGCTGCTGCAGAACCTCAGATTAATTATAACCAAGGACATGCAAAGGTGCGGGTAGAACCACAGTTTTGTGTGATGTGAACCTTTCGCTAGTGGTACTTGTCCGCTTGTGGGATTCGTTTACGAAGCCCAGCTTTTTTCAGAGCTCCATTCGTACCTATTTCTAGCCACGATGCATGGACGTGTACACGTATGCCACGCAAACATCAAGCAAGCTCTTCCGGTTTGTTCGCGTGGTGATTAGCGATGCAACGCTTGCAAAAAAGTTCTCTATGTTGCGTAACAACCGAAGCTAGGTTGATATAGTCGATGCAATCTAACCCCCTAAAATGTACGAATGCAAAATTATTTTATCTTATTTCTACTTGCTGTACATGACTTTCGTTTTTTACTAGCATATGGGAAGTCTAGCCAGGCCAGACGTATGTAAACAAAGCATACAAAACTCCGCCCATACTGCACACGCATATTTCCTATACGAATTTGCCTTTCCGTTAACGTGCCCATCTGCATATCCCTATATATGTCGTTAACAGGACAATTAGCAACGCTGTTGCTAAATGTCATCACCACTTCGTGTTATTTAGTCTCGGATACACCCAGTGACTGAAAATGATGTATCCATGATGTAGGTCTTACTTCTCTTTTTATTACCTCATGACGGACAATCTAACATCATCAGCTTGATGGGTTTCGCTTCACAAATTACTCAGACGTTGCTTTTCCGCCCCACCGCCTAATGCGTATATCTTCCATTACTATTTCCGACAATCTCATTGTCAACAGTAGTTGTCTGCTATTGCTAGGCGTTTTCCTGCCTTTCGTTTCCATTATTTCGTCGACTAATGGATAACACCATTGAGGAGTCTATGCCACTTTCCTATTTCGGGACTTTTTGCTAGTCTAACTCGATCCAGTCTAGTCGACCCAGGCCTAATGGATAATTGTTTTTCTAGTTATGTGTCTGCTGTTCATATGTCCCGCTTTGCGTTACACCAGTCTCTACCGTCTGCCGCACCAGCGGCCACCACCGGATGACTCCGAAACTTTGAGCTATCGACTGTCACTGACGCTGATGCATCCGGGTTTCGTATTCGACGACTCCTCCCGTTTGTCCACACCCGCGTGCCCCAGACAACCATTCGGTCAATGGGTGCACGCAGCTACCTGTAATCTCTGAGTAATCTATCCACATCTACCAAGTTTCCCTTACTTATCTGACTGACCGACTGACTGGTCGAACTAGGACGCAATGGTTATCATACAAGCTTGCAGCGCCTACTCCTGTTGCTGCTGTTGCACTGACAATTGTGATCGCGACCTTCCCTTATTGATGTGCTACGACGAAACTTTCCCTACCCTCGCATTCTCGCATCATAACGGCAGTCAGCGTTACCGGCCTTGTTTCCAAAACTCTCCTTCTAGTCAAGCTTTTTGTATAATTCAGCTAAAGTTCGGAGCGCTGTCTGACCAATGATTTAGAACAGATACCCAATCTACTAATCCTTTAGCTACTTGTGCGGGAAATGAGCAACATTTTGTCCCCATTTACGTACTTACTACGCGCCTTGAATCTACAGAAATTGTAGCTTACAGCAGGTAGTAGTATCTGTCAAAGTTGTGGTGTAGCAGCAAAGGCACGGCGTGTAACGTTTTTACGAACCAAAGCTTAAGCAATTGGGGCGTGATTGCATTATAAGCTTGTACATATTATTGTATCTAATTGAATATGAATATTCTGAGCTGTGGCCGTGGCGCAGGATAATCAGGGAACTAAAAGTTCGTTATACCAATGGCGCACATAATCCTTGCCGGTATAAGTATTGCGTCTAAAAAGAAGAAAAATCAGCAATGTGGGATCTACCGCTACGTAGATTCAATACTCTCTCTCTCTCTCTCTCTCTCTCCCTCCCTCCTTACTACTTCAGGACAAAACATTCATCCTGTAAGCTCTTATTAACACTCTTGACTAGGATGTTGCCGAAAATCACGTCACCCCAGACGGATCTGCATGGAGCCTATGAAAATCTGCACACAAATTACTTTCCACCACTGTTTAACAGCGAATTTCGCTCTAATTCTTAGGCGTCTGTCTCTGTAAATATGTAATACGAAGGAATCATACGTTTTATAACATCAACCACACGTTAACACATAAGAATATGTACGTAGCTCATTTTTATATAGTAGGCGATTATTGGCTACAATTTCGGGTATAAACTAACAGCACGCAGATGTTATCATTATTACATACAAAATCCTTACTGTCCAGGGGCTTTTTGAAAGCCCCTGGCCAGTAAGGAAAGTATTTGAAAGGATCAGAAAAGAATGCAGTAGGAAATTGGGTTATCTATCCGATCCATCATGCGAAGTCAAACCCATTCGGCAGTGTTATGTAAATTTGTTTCTTGCCCACTTTATGGTAGAAACTAAGCACATTTGCTAACTAATAGATAGCCACGTTGCTTTCCTACGTACTTGGTATATATAACAGAAAAATCAGCCAAAACCCAAGCTCGTGTAAGAGCCTGCTTTTGTGACGTGTTTTTGTTTCACATAAAAAATGTGTAATCAAGAAAGGTATTTTATAGCACCTACACCTATTTATTCAGCACTAATTTCACCTACCAATTGGCGTGATCTGCTTTTTAAGAGGTCTTTTTGCGTCAGGGTAAAGGGAAAGCTCAATGGGCTCTTCGTTGTTCATATGAGGTGACTTCACGCGTTCGCTAGTGTGCGCAAGGCTGTCGACCAAAACTTGCATGCCTGAAAAAAGGACAAAATTGAAACGAGTTCATATTATATCAATTAAAGCTGTAAGTTTATTAGATAGTGTGGCAAAGGTTCTTACTGCAAGAGCCAGAGACCCTCGGCTCATATCCTACCTGAATGATGAATAGGTATATATGAATACATAAATATATATTTATATAATGGGCTACATTTCAGTTTTGACGGGCAACCACAAGCCTTCCTTTTCTCCTTATTCCGGCTCTTGTTTTTGCCAAACAATAAGGCCATCGCCTTCCATCCGTAGATACTGTATGATCCCTTTGCCCTCCTTGAGAATGTATCATTTGATCGGCTATCTACTACGTTGGTGACCATACGATAAACGTATGGCTACCTGAAAGGCTTTCGACTCCACTAGTCGTACATCGAAGGACACAACGCTCTCGGAAACCAATAGACTTTCTATTGGATACACACAAGCGTCTCATATTCGCCTCATGCGTTAAGCATGCATTTACGTGCATGTATACTCGCACGAACACTTGTTTCTCTTACCATATTATCAAACTGCCTATCTCGCACCTTCTAACTGAACCGATAGTTGTTTTTTGACAGTTTTTGAGGCCGATATTTTTATAGAAAAGAATTCTTTAGAACGATCATGATACAGTCATCCTTCATTCAACAACCTATAATATATGACCCTTTTAAGTACAGGATACAATGGCTACCCTTCCGAGCAAACATTATCTGTCGCTTATTAAAAAGAATTAGACCCACAAAATAAATATAACTATATAAAATCTAATACTGAAAGAATAATGCGAGCAGTAACGATTTAACAACAAGGATATGTACACATTAATAATACAAGCGTATAGGTACACAACAGTGGCCCTTACAAGTAAGAACCGTCTAGCATTTTATATGCGGTAAACTTCCTACAAATCCATTGGAATCAATTACAGACTATCTGTTGAGCGTCAAAACAAGAGCTGAGTCACACTAGCAAATTCATAAGTAGCATTGTTCTAAGACACATTGCGCAAAACAGTGATATCTATGTTGAGCTATATCTAGATCAGTAGTAGACTAAAATTAGATTTTCCGTAGACGTAAGTAGAGCAGAGACATTAGTTTACATCGATTTGTATAGATCTATCAGAAACTACGCTGATCTCAAATCATCCGTGACCATGCTTTTTACCATGGCTTTGAGGGACAGTCCAATGGCAGAATATTATATCACAATAAAACATCGTATTCCATTTGTGGGTGCAGCGGTTACCTTCGTTACTCTGTCGCGTGGTATTCATAAATGTTCGATATTATATCAAACGGTCATGGTTATAAAATACAGCTGTATAATGAGTGATACATTTTTCCTTTTTTCTAGCAACAGTCGCAGTACGGACGACGTTTAGATATGTACGTTTAGTTTCTCTTCTACAGTAGGCCAACTATAGAACGCATTGAACCTACTTACACCGCCGAAGTGCATATAGCCTCGAACTTTGGTCCGGAACCCATGTAAATGGAGGGCGCATCGTTGTTTGCTTGACAGCTGCTCGTTAGGCCAAGGATCGTACGCATGGGATTCGGTTAAGTGACGTTTACTCGGTCATAAAGCAACCAACTAGGTAAGTAAAGTCCTGCTACAAGGAATGAATCTTTGCTTCATAGTCACCGACACCTTTAGAAAATGCGATGTACCTTTAGATTTTTTTACAATTAGTCAGGCGGAGCAGTTCTGGTCGCAGATCCGGCTACGCCTAATGTAGCTGGTCCTTCTACTGTATGAGGTACAGCTGTCGGACACGACAGGCACGGCAATGACGTACAGTATTATTTTTCCCGGACAGAAGCAGACAGGGGACAGGTGCACCTATCGGCATGCCAGGATGAATCCCTTCTGAGGCTACTCCTTTGTTTACTCGGATACTTGCCACGCAGAACTCGATGACCTAATGACCCGCCTTTCTAGTTTTTTCTAATATGAGGAATGTTAAGCAATTCGCAGAAATTTGTAGAATATTATTACTACTATGTTGGAAGACAGAATGACGATGAGTTCAGATAGAAAACTGATGACGGTGCAAAAACGGCCGCCAGAAATGTACTTTCAGCGAACAGGACTCTATTGATAAGAGAAGTGACAAAAACAAGCTTTCTTCCTTTGTTTCTCTTCGTCTTTTACATAGAGAGAAAAATACCGTTGTACTGATCGTAAACTTCAGAGAAACAACAGACCAGTTCTATGGAATTAAAACAACATTTTGGATGTTTTTGTTACGTGCTACGCATTGATCAGATGCATGTTATTGAATCGATAAGTAGTTGTAGATAAGAAGTATATACACCCATACATAATCGCCTTAGTTATTCCCAATTATCAGCGAGCTATTAAGTCGAAGTTATGTCGTAGTCCGATTTCGACTACGTTAAGCCGATGGAGACGGCTAACTTAATGACGTAGAAATAATGACGATCATATATAATTGCTGGACAATGCCTACTAGGAAGCCACGTCGAAACCGTGCTAGTTACCTCATATCGGTTGAGGAAACTGACATTCTACGAGCAACAGCTGAACCGCTGGCCATTCATTTATTACTTTAGGAACCGTGTACTGTGAGCAGTTAGTTGGACCACCCAACATACCGATCACCGTTGATTTCAACTGTCGTTTGGCCGTACATTACTTTTCGCCGTTGATTTAGGAGCTTTATACACTGAGAATACGGCTTAGACTTGAGTGGACATATATTGCTTGGTGCGGCAATCCAGTTTCTAACAATCATCACGACACCCTTCTCACATATCGACGAAGAAAACAGCATTTAACTTGACGTCGTGAAATTAACTTCAAGCACCACAAACGTTCTAATAATAAAGTAAATGTTTATAATAAGCAAATCAAATAAATTCACCTCGTTGCATGCGTAAATGCAATTTGCCTATTAAAACAACAAATAAAGCTTCTGTACAAGATCCCACTGAAACAAAGCAAGGGGTCTCTTCAAAGCAATAACAATTTTAACCCAATCCACTTCGAATAACGCCTCTCTAAGCGTTTGTCTTTTGATATTTACGTTAATAAGAAAACGGCTTTGTATACGAATTTAAGGCTATTTCTGCTAACAACAACAGCTTGATCGCTTTTGCGTACCAACCTTGTTTGTTAATGTGAATCCTGCCATAGACCTTTCGCTCATGATGCGGTGGCTGGTGAAAGTTAGGCGATTTTGGCGGGTTCGGTTGTAACGGCCGGCGGAGGTAACCCAGACTCGGACCCTGGGTTAGATACGAGCAGGCGTAAACACGGGAAAGATCATTCAGCATTGGCGTCGTCGAACGATCCTGTATAGAATACTCGTACTGAAATTGTTATCGAACAAAACAATGTGAAGCGACAATTTGACAGTGAAAATAGAAAACACTGCAGTAACAAAGATGATAATATCACAATGCAGAACGATGTCTCCTTGACATAGCGGTGGCCAAGTTTACCAAGAGCATTTTAATCCGATGGGCATAGTTTGCGTGTAGCCGCTATATCCATTATGCAAGTGGCAAAGGAATACATGATAGTACTTACATGGTGGAGAGGGATCGAGGCTGAACTATTGAGTGGCGTTTCACATCGTGAACTGCTTCCCGGCGAACCAGCCTAAAAAACAAGTGATTGATAAATGACAATCTGTTTAACCGTGCCATTTGGCAATACTTGTTTATGCTGTCTGTATCAGCTATTGTAAGTCATCTCTGATAAACAAGCCGCGCGTTTCTTCGACGGAACTTGTTGCATCTTGCTACCGTCTAATAAATAGGCAAGTAGTAGAAATATTTACTCGAATTTGTATAGAATCCTGTCTAGACAGTGTAGAGATCTGAAGCTACAGGAAAACAAGGATTGCACTACTAGATATATAATGCTATACATAATAATAATAATAATACTACTACTAACAGTGGGTTCGAAAATTGCCCAAAAATGAATCAAGCGCTTAGAACACCGTTCACGAGCCATTTCACAGCTATGTCGAAGCTAAAGGAAGTAGTTAATAGGATGGCTCTGCTGTGCATTGGCAGCTGGATCACTATGCATTATTTTTCTACCAACACCTCTGGAGTTGACGGCATAAACAGGGTTCCGCCGAATTAGCCGAAAAACTTATCGCTTATCCATGAACATCATTTCGTGTCATATGTAAAAATTACTCGGATTTTTTTGCTGTGTAAACAACGAACAAATGCACCTCGGCCAAACACGAATGCGCATCGCAACAAGTGATAAAACGGTATCGTCATTTCCTCCCTTTAGTCCCGAGCAAACCTCTACAAATTTATTAGATCATCTATAACATCTGGTGGGATGCTATGGCTGAATATTCCACGAAAGCATCACTACGACCTCTGCGGATACCACTCGTATGAATCATTTAATTCTGCCTGTCAATATTTACTGGCTTCTTGTACATGGTAAACATTATGTGACAAGTGATCTGACAACGTCAAGCAGAACGGGAAGCTTTTGAAGAATGTCGCAGTGACCAATCGCTCTTTTCAGCAGGCTATGTCCATGCTAAAAAAAAATGGCACGCAAAAGCGACTCTGTTGCGATTGCTTTCGTAGTCTCTTGCAATGCCCATAAATGCCTTGACATCACGAACCTTAACAAGGCCAACCACACCTACACCGGTCGTAACAAAACCACACCGGGCCCGGGTCCATGCCTCTAGCGACGAGAAGATAGAAAAAGGCTGGTAAATTTGACAAAACGGCTTGCCTTTCTGGTACGCGAAACGAAATAGACCTTAATATATTACCAATGGAACATCAAGGTTATAAGCTTAAAATAACGAAAGAAATGGCAGTAGCTAAGGAAACGGAGAGCAATGCAAGGGCTTGTTGTGACACGAATAGTTCGTAAACGTGGTATATTCATAGTCGGTAATGGGATCGTATCGCATAGCCAATACGACGGACGCTAGGAGAGCCGTTGGCATTGTGCCTCGTACCAAAAAAATGAAACATATAGACAGCCAGCTGAAGACTAACTCCTACGCAGAGATTCATATGGCGATAATCATAGTTTTGACGTAGAAGCAATAGTGACTCTAATATTAATATGTACTTAGATTGGCTCGAAAGGCTGTGGACGTCAAGGGACAGTGGTATGAAGTTAGGCCTGAAAGAACTGTAGTAGAACTTACGTATGTGGTGCATGGATATAACAGAGAAACTTTGACTTAGGCTGACATTCAATGATGAAAGCCTTGAACAATCCTAACGAGATACAGACAATCATTGGCAGCAGGTTTTATCAGAAGGCAAGCTGGGTGCGGCCGTTTCAGTCAAATGAATAAAAAAGCAACAGATAGAGCGAAATGTCTAGCTAGACCGGCGGTGCTGAAATCGTTGTTTCGTTGCAAATCTCCCTAGTGTTTGACAGAAGATGAAGGTCACCTTTTAAATGCTTTATTTAATCTGACCAAAATCGGGTGGCAAATCACCGTTGGATTAATCAACGTTCGTATGCCAAATTGGAACTTCTACTTCACACCCCACCAATAACTCTCGACATTACCAATCACCCTTATGTCCACTAGATAAATACTTAAGGCCTATCTTTAGGGCTAATCCAAGGCTTTTCTTTCTTTACCGCGTAAGCAAACCTTAGGTGGTTAACAGTTCATTTGATGCTGTTCGAGTCTGAAAACGAAAGTGGTCACAATCCTTCATGCAGACGAGACTAGTTCAAACGTTCGTTGCCATTTTACGACAATTTACGAAACCTGATAGTAAGATAGAAGCTGATTAGTTTGATTGTCTTCTTCAACAGCAATAACAGGATTTAGCAACGAATTACGGCACCTATATGATTATTGCAAACAACACAAATTGTACATCGTCAACCAGATAACTAAAAACTGAGATCAAAACCTCACGCTACGTATATAACTTCAGTGGGCAGCGTGATCCGCTTGGTGTGAAAGCATCGTATATTACGCTAACTAGGCAGAAAATTTCTCCTAACGGCAATAGTTGACCAGGGTACAAACTGACGATGCCAACGATCTATTTTCTTTTATAGTTTTCTATCTGCCTCAGTTAAGTTTAAATAGCGAAAACATTTAATTATAATTAAATTAAAGTGATTAATTTCAGTACCACATTATGGAGATATAGTCTAAATATGGATACTTACATCTGGATGTTCGCATTCGCCATTCGGTCGGGGTCCGCAGCGAGGATGCCAAATTGCTCCAGCTAATAATAATAATAGTAGAAATAGCAGCATGAAATATAATGGGAAAAAATAGGTTCGGCTAAATATTCATTCTTTTCTGCCTGATCAACTGTCTCATTGTTTTATATTACATTAAAGCAATTAACTGCATATGTGACTTATCGTCTGAACTTATTTTTTAGTATAATTAGCAAAACTGGTATGCACAGGATTTTGGAATGACCAGTAATCCGCAACGAAGTTAGGCGAATACTATCAGTTTATTGATGTTTATTAATTGCTAGTTAGAAGAGTGTTGCAGTAGTTTTTGTACGTGTAAGTTTATGTAAACTTATTTTGTTCTTTAAAGAAACAATGATGTCGTAAAACACTGCTTCTCAGAGAAGTTCCTCTCACATAGCTAAAACAAGCACGCCATGGTAGCGACACCGAATGCCGACCCGCAAACAACATAACAAAATGATGACCATGATAGATCGACTTTTCCGACCAGAGCCCGCATCTTCTTGTAAGATAAGTAGCACCCCCAAAAGCTGTTCCTCCAAATGAAGCTTCTGAAGATAGCAGCGCTACTGTTTCAATGGACACCCCTGGGCGAGAAGCGTTTTTTTTTCATACTTAAATGGGTACTTCGAATAATGTCGACTCTATCGATTTCTTCTGTTTTTCTGACAGAAGCTTAATTTGCCTACAGAAGGCAACCTGCCTTCAGTACCGATCCATTGAACAAGCCATTTTTCGATATTTCCGAGGTTCTGGAGATGAGTTCGTTTCAGGCATATTGCGTTTACTGGAATGAATCGATGCTCTGTTAGGCACAAGTACGGAGAATAGATTGGCAGCGCGTAGAATTTATAATCGACTAAGAGCTCATTCATCGATGTGCTCAATGTAAAGAAAGCCACTCATTAGAAGCCAATTTTTTGGTGCAATAAATAGTAGCCTTCATTGAAGCTTCTAATCCAGATGTTTTTATTATGGTCGATGACTCCTGACAGCTAGTTCCGGGCTTGCTTTAACAGCTCAATCATTTCACAATACGGATTCCCTGCTCAATTTTATTGTTGATATCATAATCATTACATTTCAGTAGCTAGAAGCTAAAAGCAAATGGGGAACTTCTTGTTTCCAGTTCTGCATAGCTGATCTGAAGATCAATATCAGATGTACATCTAATGAAGTTAATCCATATAAAGAAGCACGCAATTTCTATTATCTGATCCAGGAATGATGCTAGGTGACTGAATCGTAGCGACAAATATCTCTGCCGTAAAACTCGTACGATACAATACGGTAAATAACACGTACGTTTGTGGCAACGATGAAAATGAATGCAATTAGCTAACAAACATGTTTTCCCCTTGAGAAGAACACCCAATTGTCGCTCCTAGCCATAACCTACCTTGGAGGTACATTTCTTCCCCATCGCCGAAAGGATCTCCGCATTTTGAACAGCGAGCACACGTGGGATGGAAATGTGAATCATCGCCAGCTTGAAGTACTTTTCCTGTTATGAAACGTTGACAGTGTGCGCACTTAATACCGAACCGTGTCTGATAATCTTTTTCGCAATAGGGCTGGTCATCTTTACCTGTTGATTATTACAGGAAACGACAATGCAGGGTTAATGCATTTGGTAATTAGGTTTGGCAGCTCTATGGGGCGCTACACGAGTATCGTGATGGCACTTGTGAGCAGTTAATGAAGACTGAACGCTAACACCCAGTTTTGTCGCCGCCGGCCCCATGAGCATCCACGTCGCTAGAATGATTAAACATATGTGACACCAGAATCAAAAAACTCGATACTTCGTATGGATGGTTTTTGTTTAAAATGATTACGAAACGAAAAGAAAGAAAAATGCAAGTATTTTCAACGCGATACTAACTCATATACTCTCCATGAAGGAGCTGTGAACAGATGGTGCATTTAAAGCAGAAAATATGCCATTGTTTATCCATTGCCACGAGTGCCTGGCCGTCAACCAAAGCCTTCCCACATCCAGCGCAATCGCCCCGGGACTCCGCTATGGGGCTCGGTTCGCTCTTCACAGGGATCTGGATGCACCTGTAAAATATAGACGAAATAAATTTAATATCATTATGATGATGAAGCCAATAATTGAAAATGCTTCACTATATATTGTGCCAAAACATCGAATCTGAAGAATACGCATTGGCAATTACATCTGTCGTTTTAAGATCTTTCTTGATCATTGACAGGGCAAAAGACAATGCCCCGTCATTCGCACACAAACAGCTCGTACACGTAAAACTCAACTGTATTACTCAGCTAGAATCTATTTATGCGATGTGCTGTCTTTTAGCGCACGTTCGATTAAATATTAATATAATGTTTTAAATAAGCTGTTATCAGAATTTCATATATATGAATGTCTGAACGTTTTCGATAACTGTCCCTTGGAACGTCGATATACTATGTACTTTTTGTCACAACAATTACTACCAAAGACATCAAACGCCCACCCAGCAGCCGCACGTTCCAACCTATCTTCTAAATAGCTACTGCCCAAGTTCCGCTTCCTAACAGTAGCGCGGCCTCTGGGAGGCAATCCATATCTTGTCCCGTCCTTTTTAAGTGCAGTAATTACAGCACGATATGCACGTATATGAGCAGTTTTTGGCTTCGCTATACATTTATATGGGTTGTGCTACAAACCTGACACAGAGGCACTCCTTTCCTGTATACGTAACTTTCTCCCCACTCGGAAATGGCTGTTTGCATCGTGCGCATACGAAACATTTTTGATGGTACGTGTTGCCTACAGTCGACAACAACGGCAACAACGGTTAGCTGAATTCATAACGTAAATAGTATGGTAGTATTCTGGCAATACTATTCTGTAAACGATTCTTGTGTTATATATTATTATATGATGATCTGTTCGATAAACGGTACGATAGGAAACAATTAGCAACAAAATCGCATGGCAGTCCAACTATTATGAACACAAAGTAACGGTAACAACACTGTCGTTTAGAGTGAGCAGCGGCTGGACGAAAGCTTGCAACGACTTGGATTTCATCACTGCGTAAAATTGCCGGGGTCCTACAGCATGACACGGTACTATGTTCTACCGCGGGAAACCGAATTTGAAATAATTCTCTATACAATTGGCTGTTCATGAACGAAATTGTTTCATTGGTAATTTAACTTTTTACTGCATTCCGTCTACATATTGAAATTTATCATTTTTAAACGATTACATCGTCATATGGGGATCTAATTACTGGTTATCAGCGTGCTACGCTGCTTTCGTTCCTATTGCTTACTAGGAGTGGCCTATCGAGGCAACGCTTCGACGCTTTCTAAGGGTTACGCTCGTTGGCCAACAAGGCCAGGCCAGCTCCTTCAGTTTATGATCAAATCGCTCACGCCCATGCAACCCACTCTGATCATGTTGCCGACGCAGGTTATTGGACCCAAGGCTGATGCAGAAGTAGCGATGCCGCGATTGGAGTTTCGGAACTAGGAACCACGCTACAATATTAATATTCCTGTCCTCTTATTATTTTTTACTATATTCTACTTCGAATACTATACGATGGTTTAAAAATGACGAAAAACATACTAGAAGTAGTGATACTTACCAAGAGCTGTGACAACGTCCCCTTCAACAAATTTTCCGCAACCTTCGCATTTTGTGCCGAACAGTCGCTGATAATCTTTGCTGCAATAGTATTTGCCCTTCTTGCAAAAGAAGCCTCCCTGCGCTAGAGACGAACCACATTGTGCGCATTTGAAACACTCGACGTGGAAATACTTCTCCTGCACTCGTAGAGCATTGCCGGAGCACTTCTTTTTGCACAACTCACAGTGTACTTTGCCTGCAGGTCAACAGGAGGAACGAGCTCGTTAATTGCATGGATTATGATACATATCGATTGAGCATTTATATCATGCGACTAAAACTGCGGCCACTGGAGCCGCGCAGGCCCACTTATCTCGGTATAGATTGTTTGCAGCCATTTATTCAACCAACCGATGAAACGACGGACTGCATCGAAATATGTGTTCAAAAGCTTCGAAGGCCACGATACCTCCGTGTCGTGCCCGTCAGGCTGGCTAGATAAGGCACAATCCTTTCCACTACGGACGAAGAAGTAGCTTTCACGTTTTTATTAGTAATAACAAAGCTCTAAACAAAATCGTGCTTTGTCAAAGGTGTTCTATCGGTGGCGAAAGAAATATTATCACTGTTCTTTTTGCCAAAAAGGAGTAATTGCAATACAGATAACTATACTTTTTTAAATGTAATTACGCAAAAACATATCGCATCTCACTGTATCACATTTAAGTCAATTCAATAATTTCTGAATTTGCGGCATCTGCCTTCAAATCATGGCAATCATAAGAGAGCTTGACAAAAATTAGTACATTACAAAAATCGTTTTCTAATTTTCATAGCGAAACCAAGCTTCAGGCTTCATTAAGCTTATATAATATTTGGATATCACAGTAAAAATATATTGTCTAAGGGAATAGAGGTATAGTATAAAAACGAGCAAAATACGGCGATATCCATAATGGTAAGCACATATCTTCTATACCATCAAACAAAACACCCTGGCCATTAGGTTTACACGTTCTTTTACGAATTATGTATGAGCGTTTTGCGGGATGCGTTTACTGCTGCCACTGTGAAGACCTTCATGCGCCGTCATGTCGGATTGCAGATTGGACCGTCAATGGCAAAAACGCTGTTGTTATAATCATTGTTAACAGCTTAAGATCCGCTTAAATGTTCTGAAATCTGGCTGATTATTACAAACTGCCGAACGAAAAACAATATTTCATCGGGGAGTTCTACGCTATATTGTACCACAAACTAGTTCAGTGAGAAAGCCAAACAGTACCCATTCGTTTCTATCGCTCGCTACTAGTATTTGTTTTAGCCATTTCGAACGGAAGTTTTCCATTCGACGCATGCCAACGACCTCCGTCTACCGAACTGCTAATGATGGGGGTTTCATGGTTGTAGTAGAACCCGTTAAACATAGCATACCTTAGTCTTATCCTATTTATTAGCATATTTTAGCCGTAGTAAGAACGCTTCTACTGATTCGTCGAATAATAATGACAAGGTCACGTTGATAGTCGTTCATGGATCGTGGAAGACGTAACCGCTTAGACGTGGAACATATGAAGCTAGGGTCGTAAACTGAAAAAAAAAACTAATAAGACCGAGCTTAATTGGAACAACGTAATTCGCTTTTTTAAGTAGTCGTCTTGTCCTTAGCTACTTAGGCTTTTCGTCTGGCCTGGACAATTTATAAACTTGAAACATACTCCTAGTGTTTTTTGTTTTTTACTTAACCACAGATCAGCTAGAGATGCCGGCCGTGCTCTCACTTGCCCTCTATGTGCTGCTAGCCACTCGCAAAATTTGCATCAGATAGGGCCATAATGATCCAAGCTGGTTCCCATTTCGATCTCTAATTTATCAACGGTATCAATGTGTATTTGAAAACTAAACAACGAAAACTTGTAAAAAAACAGAGAGTGTAAGAAAGAGGTAAGTTGGCCGCAGTCACGATAGCAGCGTTCGTCGACGCTGCAATCAGTGCTAACTGACCACGTTTGTGGCTGGCTTCGTACAGCCACATCTGGTACATCGTACCAGATGTGGCTTCGTACACATCACCGTTGAGCACAAATCTCATAATAGAAAGAACAGTTAAAGGATGGTAAACATTGAAAAGTAAAACACTTCTGAATAATTGAACAAATATGGACTCGCATATCTGGCAGAATCGTGGGAAGAGTGAGCTTGAGACAATTGGTTTCGAATACGGTTATTTTTAATGAGTGAAATTTGTACCAGGGAAACGTAGGCTTAAACCGAATTACGACTGAGACAAAAAAAAGTACCACTAAGTTTTTTATGAAGTTGTTCGTTACTGTTGAAGAATTACGTTTGCTTTCGAATTTCTTCCGAAGTTTTCTCCGATGTGTTTGTCGAGTTGTTCCGGGTGCGGCTATCCCGGCGTGGTGAAGTGGCAGTACAGCTGATCTGTCGCTAATCGGAACAACTGATTCCACCGAAAATGGTTACTTCACGAATGATGTACCGCGAGTAGGAATTGTATCCAAACGTAGGCTAGTGCCCATTAGCAATAAAAACGTGCATACAGACTCAAAACCTGCTAGTCAACTGCTTGGTGGACTTCATGCGCGGCCATCGCCGCCAAGCCTAAAACGGTCAGTCCAATACGCTACGGTATATACGCACGCCTTGAAGACAGGTAAATCAAATTTGATTTTTCTACGACCACCTATTCTCCTATGCTCACTGTGTATCGGCTACATCTCTAGCGTTGCCATTAGCTTCCGAACAGGGCATCCGCAATAAGAGTATCATTCGCAATCGTAACAGACAGTGGTGTACTGTTAAGACGTCACTACGATGCTTGTCACGTTGGGTTAAGGCAACGAGCATTAACTCACACGCTGGGACGAATACACTAGGATAGCGTAATGGGTTTAGCGGCCATGAGATGCTATCCATGGAGCAATTATCTATCTGTACGAATTATTGAGGCCTGCCTCTACAACTGCTGGTTGCGAATTAAATGAAGAGATGTTCCATTAAATTAGAATTTTTTCTTGTGTACGTCCTATATATATATATATATATGTAAAACGTAGAGTATATGTAGATTTATACATAGATTGTATAAATATGTCGCATTTGCTCTCGGGATAATTTATCATGTCTTAACGAGACGAAACAAGGGCAATACCTTATAAGGGGGTATATAGATTTCGAGTTAGGCTCAGCTAGAGCCTTGAAAAAAGATTCTTTGATAGTTTGAAAGGTGATTAAAACACTGCGTCTTGAGAATCTATTGAACCTTGCTTATTACTAGCTATTCAGTAAATTTGGTAATAAAGCGATCAGATTGGTTTCATACGTAAATATCAACGCGTAATACTGTAACTGAGCACAGATTCTTCTTAGATAGAGTCTCACCGAATTCTCGCTATGAGCATTATATATTAATTAATTTTTGCCTCGTGATAATGATCAATATGATGTAATGTTAGTTTGACTCGCTAAATTGTATAAATACTTTTGGCAAAATCCTCAATTCTGCGCGATTTGCTAGTAACGCTTTATCTTGACCCGAAATCGTTGCCAATCGTGTCCTGTCAAAACTGTTGACAATATAAAGTTCAGTAAATGAAATGGTTTGCAATCCTGCCGTCTGGTAATGCAAAACACCTTGCCAACCATGGATGCCCCGACGCCTACATCGCTTTGTCCCCACCCTCTTTGGCCCCATATGTGCTCCGCCATTTTCCACTTTTTCTCGTGAAGAATGTCAGCGATCAGTTTATCAGTTTGGCCGTTCCCAGCGTGTTTACGTACTGTGGCGCCGCCTGCTGGCGTCATAGTGGTGTGCGCTATCCATCGAGATTGCAAAACATGTATGCTGATCTCGCAAAAGGAAGCGTCTTGGATAAATGACAATAGCTGGTATGATTGCAACCATGTCATAGTATCTAATAGTTGTTGAAAGAATAAACAGGTTCCATTTTAGGCAGCGTTTCTCATCACTGGGTGGGAGAATTGTAACGATCAATTGTACACCAGCTCCATAGAAGAAAGGGTGTGAACAACTTGCCATTTACATTTGAAACAAGTTCAGTACAACATCAGGCTACTTCAGGCTACGAGTTGTCGTTAAAGTATTTATAAAGTGCTCATTATATCCAAATGTTAATAGGCTTCTCTCTCGGGTTAGTACCGTCTTCCAGGACCAAACGATGTTTTCCCAATGTATAGAATTGGATACAATGTTAAATATTGGGTCTGATAAAATGAATCGAAATCGATGAATAATCTATTTTGCACAAATTTGTTACCTGTAGATATTGTTGCTGTTGCAGTTGATGTGGATCGTTTTAGATTGTAGACTATTATTACAAATACCAAGCATTTTGTTCGTGTAAATACTGCGGACGATGTCAATGCTGTGACATCTGGCTACGCGCACTGTAACGTCCACGTTTCAGACAGGTAACCCGTCAATAATAATAATATGCTGTTGTTACAAACGAGGCCGGTGAACTTCGAAGTTGAGTAACTACACTCTGCTAATTTCCGACAAAATTTAGCGGGAAAATACTCCAGTCTCCCAGAAACTCGACGCTGAAAAAAGACCGGTCGAGTCCACTGCAAAAGCAATGAGTCCTGGTAAAACAACATTTTTTTTTGTCTCGAAAGTCAATTCTCAGTTGCCAACTTTTGTGTTCCCGAAGACCACAGCGCCTCGGATTCTTACGGATAAAATCAACGGAGACATCAGGCAGGAAGCCTTATGCGAAAGCATATAAATAGTGCGAACGTTTCAAGAGTGGAGAATGGTTTTGATTGATCTGAGTGTTAAAGTGATCAGAGTAAAGCTCAAAAGACAAGAAATGATTACCCTAATCAAGTGCAAAAGCACACCTGTTACGGGCACTAGCGGCCAAAACTAGCACTAATTGGCAGTACCGTATTAAAAAATTTTGATCCATGTAGAAGTTTGACCAAATGTAGAGTAAAAAATTGGTCCTACATGAATTGAATACAGGCTCATTGGAAATGCGTGTTGTATATTTAACTTGTATATGTAACTTGAATGCAGCTCGCCATTTACTCAAAAATCTCATGCGTTGTTGGCACTCCAATCGAAAGCACGCTATATGGTTATTTGATGAGGACGCCAGATCTCCTCGCAATGCCCCAGTTACCTTCTGGATTAAGCAAAAGAACATCCAACGTTGGCCTCAATCTGCCCACTCTACATATCTATCTAAGTTCGTAGTTACGAAGTTTTTT